CAAACCCCCCCCCCCCCCAAAAAAAAGGGGAGGGCTAAAAACGCCCCTAAGTAGTCAATCTACTGGGGATGTGTTTTCTTTACTTGCAACTTTTTTTTTCTGTTCATGCATGCATGAATGAAATGGTGTGTGCGCGCGTGCGTGTGTGTGTGTGTGTGCGTGTGTCCTCTCTGAAACAAGAGTTATTTCCGATAGACTCCGAAAGGTTGTATAGTGGTGCTGCTGCTGCTTGTTGTTGAGGCTAGCTTAGCCCCGTTTTATGCATTGTGTCGGTGTCGGTGTGTGTCTGATTTTTTTTTAGTGTGTTGCTAGGCATGTCGGCAGTTGTGTCTTCTTTTCTTGTTCTAGTAATCGGCAGTTGAGGTGGGGGGGAGGCAAAAGTTGGATGCGGCTGCGGCTGTGCATGTGAACTAAGTAGTAGCTGTTCTCTGTCTGTTTGTTCTTTCTGGTCTGGCCTGGCTTGGCTTGGCTTGGCTTGGCTGGTGCAGGAATGGAGGTGGGGAATGTGCCGATGACGATGGTGGTGACAAGAGACACTAAGGACTCATGGGATTACGTCTTTTGGATAAGTAAAAATAGACAAGAGGAGAATTGTGTGAGAAAAGAGAAGAAGAAAAAAAAGTTAGATTTAAAGAATGCAAAAAAAAAATTGGTATCCTCGATTTTCCTCCTCTGTCTGACTTAACCTCAGCCAACCCTACTTACTTACCCCTACAGAACAACTGCCATGAGAGAAGAAGAAGAAGAAAAAAAGGGAGAAAGATGAAAACCATGCCTGATTCATGATTCCCCCCTCCTCCGATCTCTAGAGTCCCACAGCAAACTCACATACGACAGCAAAGCGGGGTAAATCCATACTTACGTACGTATGTAGGTACATGTAGATGAGCACGACTCGTTGTCAACGTACGTAGGTACAACATCTACCTGCCCTACCAATCTACCTGCCTATCACGTACATATATACATACCCCTCCTCTTCGCTTGGTTTCGCTTCACACACTTGTGCATGTATACCAAGCCCCTTGCCTCGCTGTCAACCCTTGCTCTGCTTCTAACCTGTATCCCTACCTACCTACCTCCTCCTTCACACCCCCCCTTGCTTCCGCTCCCCGCCGCCGCCGCTGTCCGCCCCATTGCCCGTTGCGGATGCCAACGGGGACGCTAATGTTTGGTTTTTTTTGGGTTGCGCTCGCCGACGTGAGGTGGTGCTGGGTTGAATTGAGGGGGTGCAGGTAGATGCAGAGACGGACGTGTGTTGTATATGGGATGTAGGGGGGAGGTAAACTTTATTTTGGGTGCATGTGCAGTTTTTTCTTCTCTTTTCTTTTCTGTTTGTCACTGTCTGTCTTTTTCTCGGCGTGCGTGTCAGTTACATGCATACAGACATACATACGCAACTATCTTGATGTACGTATGTGTGTAGCAATGTGTAAGAGGGGAGTGAGATTCTGGAAGTGTAAGAGCATGTGTCATTTGCAAGCTAATCTTCTTATCATGACATGCATTTTTGCTATCACTGCAAAAATATCACATCCATGTTATGCTGACATGTGAAGATCCTCAATATTCAACCTTTTTTTGGTGTTTCTTCGTCTTTTCTTTTTCCTATCGAGTCTAAGTGTGTCTCGATCTATCTAAAGTAAGTGATATATGAAAAAAAAAGAGAGAAGCTATATAGCTATGTGTACATGGACACATTTACACAACTCAAGAACAGAAGGACGAGGGAAGGAGAACAAGTATGGCAAGGAAGTAATTAAAAAGGATAACACGTGAGAACGACAGATACATCAATCCCCGCTCAACAAAAAAAAACCAATTCCATCTCTCCATCTTCATCTTACCACATACATACATACATACATACACACACACTTCCCCACACACTCCCCCTATCCCACCACGTCTCCCTTCCTCCACGCTCGCCTCCCTCCCTTCCTTCCTCCCTCCCTCCCTCCCTCCCGCCTGTCTCCGTCCATATCCATATCCATGTGCGTCTCCCAGTCAACGTCAGTGCCCTATCCGCGCATGCCTATGCGTATCCGGATTTGTACCCAAGTCCGCACATCGCTATCTCGGCCGTACTCCGGACGCGGCAAACCCACGTGTGTAGGGGGCGGGAACGGAGAGTCACACAGACACACAGACAGCAATGAAGGAACAAAGACGGCACAGGACACACGCTTTGATGTTTGTTATTGTACATCACTAAACGGAAACTGGGGGGGTTGCTTGCTCGCGCGTCCCCCCTCCCCCATCAGGCCGGTTGAGGGGGGGGGGGCTGTTGGTTAGGTTTTTGTGGTCAGCCTAGTATATGTATGTATGTGGGGGTTTTTCATGGAGACTTGACGTGTGATTCCCATTCCTATCATGTGCATTGTATATTCAGGTGTGTTGGTTTGAGTTTCGGGGGTACCCTCCCCCAATCCAAGGGATCTGTGTATGTGGCCAGTTAATCTATTTATCTAGCTATCTAGCTAGCGAGCTAGCTGTCTAGATGGTTAAATGGGAAATCAAATAGTTGCGTGGATAAGATCAACAAACTAGGTTATCGGGATATTGAAAAATTATAGCGCTTGGTTTTTGCAATTTCAACTTGCTGCGACTTGGATGCCGTTTTCTTGTAGAGCAATCACTTCACTCCAATGACCCCAATAACAAAACTCCCTAGTTCAAGCTCATGGCAACACTCGGTCGCCCCCGGTCCGCTGCGGTGGCGGGTGAGCAAATGACTCGCAACGTTGTGTGTGTGTGTGTGTGTTCGGAGTTAGGCAAGGATTTTCGCCTTGTCCTTGGGGGGGTTGAATTTTTCATGCCATGGAAGAGTCGGAGAAAGACTAATTTGTCTTTTTTCTCTCGTAACAGAGTTTTTCAAGTTTTTTGTCAACGCGCATGGATGCTTGTTTGTGTATGTGTATGTATATGTGTGTGTGTCCGGAGTTAGGCAAGGATTTCCGCTTTATCCCTGGGGAGTTTGAACGTTTAGCCATGGAAGAGTCGGAGAAAGACAGATTTGTCTATTTTCCTCTCGTAATAGAGTTTTTTTTCTTTTTCTTTCGGGGTTTTACCAACGCGCATGGAGAAGATTGTTAGTGTGTATATGTGTATGTGTGTGTGTGTGTGTGTGTGTGTGTGTGTGTTAGTAACGTGGATTCACTATGCAAAGAGAGCAAGAGAGAGAGAGAGAGAGAGAAAAAAAAGACATGGCGGCGTGATGATCATGCCATGTCGTTCTCATGACACACCACCGCATGACGCTTCCCTCACCAAGAAGAAGAGTCAGTACTAGCGGAGAAGGAGGATGAAGAAAAGGGGACAATGGCCTGGGATACTACAAGCATTCATATACGTGTAGGAAAAGTCTCTCATTTTCTCGCATTTTTCTCTACCTGCCCATCTCTCCTCCCATGTTTCATGTCAATGTCACAGACTCACGTTACATGTTGTCACGGTGTATGTAGTAGTATATGCTGGGCCTATAGTTGCAGATAATATTATGGATTTGGCGGAAAGTGGGTCTCGACCGTGCATTTTGGCCGTCAGTGCTGCCGTCGCGCGTAGCCGTGTTCACCGCCGCGGCTTTGGGGTGCGCCGTGTTGCCGTGCGCCGGACTTACTACTTGCCTATGGGTATGGGTGTGAGTATGGGTGTGAGTATGTGTGTGTATGTATATATGTGAGGGTGCCAAGGTCAGCGATTCAAGGAACGGGGAGGGTTGGATATCACAATAATTCACATGTCCATGTTTTGAGCCAATGCAAAAGAAGGCGCTGGGCTTTGGGCTGCGCAACAAACGGCGCACAATTGTCTCCAAATGGAGTCATGTATAGTTTGCGTCTACCTCTTTTCGTTCTGTCGTGCATATACAAGCCGCTAACTATGGATCACCCCGGCGTAGTATTTGGGGCTGGGGCCACGGCTTGGCTACAGGCAACGATGAATGTTACAGATCCAACGGTGCTGCAGCAGGTCATGATGCGGGGCTATTTTCTGTTTGTCGTGATATGCCCATGTCTTGCATATGTGCATTAGTAATTCACTCGTATTGGGTGGGTTGTGTGTGAATTTGCAGAGGATTAGAAAAGAAGAAAAAAAAAGACATGGTCTGGAAGCAGCAGATACGGACGAGTTTCGCAGGCTGCTGAGATAGCCCGTGGCTGGCGCAACAAAGCAGGCCTGAGGCAATTTCGGCCGTACGGCTCCACGGCTTTGTAATGACGAGCAGATTATATGGACTGCGGACCCAATTTTGATACAGGCAGTTGCATGTTGTGTCGCGGCGGATGGGGATTCAAACTTTAATTAATGGATATGCGATGCAGCGACGGCCACGGCTTTTTTTGTCGTGCAGCTGGAATTGCGTGGTCAAGGGGAAAAAAGGTGCACGAGTGGGGCATAGCGACTCACGATGGTGGTAGGTGAAAAGGCTTTGGAAACTGGGTAGAGTTTGGGGGTTCGGATGACGAGGCAAAATAGTGATGGCGCGTGGTCTCGACTCGGGCGACTCGTGCCGGTAGAGTGGGCTCAAGACGAGATTTTGGTGGACTGGACTGGAGTGAGCAAGCCAGCTGCCTCGGTGTACTAAGGTGGTGGAATGCAGCAGATATTTGACCGACCGTACCCCGCGCTGTCAATGTGACGGCGGGTACGAGGGCGAGCAGGTCATGTAACGAGTCGGATGTCCATCTCGCAAATCGAAACAGGCCAACCTCTAGGTTCGCAGGTTTCAAGAAGCAGTATGAGCCGGGGTGGGGGTATGCAGCTGAAAACCACGTGGGAAGGGTGGTGGCGCGTACAAGCTGCAGACGTGTAACGGGGCTGGGTGGGTTTGGCGGGTCTGCATACAGTAGTGTCGAGGAGAGGGAGCCAGAGCCAGAGCTGGGGAGTCGTGTCTAGCAGCGGCCAGCGGGAAGACGGTCGACTGAAGCAGAGGGCGGCGACGTGATTTTTCTGTGCTGGCGGCGAGAATGATGATTGCAGCCATGCTCTGGACTCTGGTAGCGGACGGGGGGGGGAGGCGCTATGGGCCAAAACAAGGAGTGTAGTGGGTGCCGGGCGACATTGCGCATATACGGCCCTATAGCAGCCGCGTGTTATTACACTGGCCCGTCGCTAGTCCCGCAACGGATAGGCGACGGTGCGCGTCACGAACCATAATCGACATGTCTACAAGGCACGAGCGCGAGCAATGCAGGCGGGCAGCAAAGGCGCGCGTGGCTCGGATACTTTGTTTTGAACATGGCAGGGCGTGCGGGCGGCGGGCGAGGGGCGGAGGTGTGTGTATGTATTGTGTTCTTGGGGCTCCCGCGACGGTGATTCGACCGGAGGGGACGAGGCTAGAGAGGTTGGGCTGAGTCGCCGCGAGGACTTTGGTCGTTGCGGGGTCATGCCTAGGGCTTTTGCATGGACGGGCATGGACGGGCATGGGATTTGCCGGGGCGAGGTGGTGGTCTGGAGTAGAGAGTACATGGACCCAGTGCCGCTATGCAGTGGGTGGTGAAGGGCGAGGCACCAGCACCAGGCAGCACGTGGCTGGCAACGTCGGGAGGCGACTGCCTGTCTGGGCCATAGTCCATGTGCGGGGAGCAAAGCGGCCTGTCAAGAGTCTTTGGCGGTGCGGAGCCACTGCAGCCACAGCGACGGCGCATGCTCTGTGCTGGTGGATAGAGCCCGGGGCGGAGTGGAGTGGAGGGGAGTGAAGTGACGTGGAGTGGACTGGGGCGGACTGAGGCGGACTGAAGCGGACTGGAGTGGATAGGAACCGGCAAGACGGTGCATGCTGTAGGTGCATAGGCATAGGCACAGGCACAGGCACAGGCAGAGGCACAGGCACAGGCACAGGCACAGGGCGGCCCTCAGGAGCTGCAGCCTAGCCTAGTCCGGTTCGGGGGGCTTGGCGAAGCGACCGCAAAACGGACATGTCGCTTGCGCTGGGGGGGAGCGATTGACCCGGCTGAAACGCGCTACTCGTGCCCTCTACGACGCGGGCGACTCGACCGCCCCTCCCCAATCCAGCTGCTGCTCTCGCTGCATTGCCGGCTTGGGCCACGACGCGCTGACGAGATCTGCGCCGCCGACCGCGCTGCGACGAGGGTCGGCAGTGCGCTGCCGGTGCATCAGACACGCTGCGATGCACTGGGGCGAGGCAGAGCGAGCTGAGGCAAGACGATGGGTGGATGGGTGGATGGATGCACAGAGTTTCCCGCGCCGCCCGACAAGATTTGCCCTCGCCTCGCCTCGCCGCGCCGCGCTGGTGGTGGGCAACAAAGGCTGCACACGCGTGCCAGGAGAACCTGGAGGACGGCTGCTGACTCATCCGCCTGCCCATTCGAGCGGGCGCACAGCAAGACGGGAAAGCCATGCACGCCAACGGTGGTGGGAGGCTTTGGGGGGCATGGATTGGGGCAAGAGCGCGCCAGAGCTTCTGCGGATTGCAGTGCTACGCGCTCGCTAGCACGCTCGCAGCGCAGTAGCCGTCGCCCTCACTAACAGCAAATTCCCGCCGAGGCAGTCAGGGTCCTGGGCTCCGGAGCGCGCAGGCGCAGGCACAGGCACAGGCACAGGCACAGCACAGGCGCAGGCACAGCACAGGCGCAGGCATGGTTCGGGGGCTTCGGGCTTGCCTCTGCAAAGGCGAGCGCGCCCCCCCCCCCCCTGGAAATGATATGGCGCTAAGGGGCTTTTGTCGCTTTGATGACCCGCGCGCCAGACCCTCACTCGCTCTGTGTTGCTTTGCCTTGCTTTGCTTTGCTCTGTTCTGCTCTGTTCTGCTCTGCGCTGCCCTTCACAGCCCTTCCTGCCTCGCGCCCTTCACAGCCTGGATAATTCCTTCTTCATTATTTCCTCCCACCCCCCCCTCCCCACCCTCACCACCCACCGCCGTCATCGCCCTCTGCTGTGCCTGCTCCACTCCCGCCCGGCTGCAACCAGGCTAGGCGCGGCCCTACTACTGACTACTATTACTGCTGCCACCTCTACTATCACCGCTACCGCTACTACTACTACTACTACTACTACCACTCCCGCTCCTACTCCTACTCCTACTCCTACTCCTACTCCTACTCCCACCCTGCACCTAATCACCCACGCGCGCATGCAGACCGCCGCCGCCTCACGCCTCACTCTCCTCGCAACCCGTGCCACCCACCTGGGACCCGTAGCATAAAACAAATTCCCGCCATCCACCCATACGCGCACCCTGTGGCACAACAGCCCTCCGCCCATCCTACGGCGCTGCCGCGGCCGATCACATGGCGACCTCACCACCAGGCTCGCCTGCCAACGGGGTCCCGCGGCCCATGAGCGCAATAATTCGCCCGAATCGCAGCTCGAGTCGCATGAGCATCAGCAGCAAGCCCGGTGGGAGCAAGGCCTCGGACGAGGACAGCAAGACGGCTGTCAAAGTCGGTATGTTTTCTAACCCATGTCCCCGACATGCACACGCACACACACACACACCGCCTCCTAATACTAATCTCATGTTGTAGCTGTCCGCGTCCGCCCTGCCCTCCAGTACGGAGAGCCTGGCTACGAGCTCATTCCCCAGCGATTCCGCAATGCCCTGTGTCACGTCACTTCAAACTCAAGTCTGACAGTCGACGCCCCGGGCGGCAAAAAGGTCTTTGTCTTTGACCGTGTATTCAATGAGGAGGTTGATCAAGAGGGCGTCTTCGAGTATGTCTCGGACAGCGTCAACTCGTTTGTACAAGGTTACAATGTCTCCATCCTTGCATACGGCCAGTCGGGCGCCGGCAAGTCGTACACAATGGGCACCACCGGCCCACGAGATCAGTCCAATCCCGATGTCATGGGTACGTCTAATCTCCCAATACTCTCTTTGCGACAAAACAAAGCATATTGACTACCCGACTAGGCATCATCCCCCGCGCCGCTGCATTACTCTTCGACAAGCTCGAGGGGCCTAGCAAAAGCCCAACCTCCGGCATTCGCACTCCCAGCCGTCTGTCGGGCATGCAGAACGTCTCTGCCAAGTCTTCATCGCAGGCGAATAGAAACTGGCAGCTCAAGGCCACATATGTCGAGGTAAACTACTCTCTCGCCAGAAATGAAAAACGAAAAAGAAAAAAAAGAAAAAAAACCCCCGACATGTTGCTGACTGCTGGCACAGATCTATAATGAGCAACTGCGCGACTTACTCCTCCCCGAGCACGTAGCTGCCCAAGAGCGACCTCAGGTCAATATCCGAGAGGACCGCGATGGTCGCATCATCCTCACAGGACTGACCCAAATACCCGTCAACTCAATCGACGATTTGCTCGGCGCCCTCAACTTCGGCTCCGCAATCCGACAAACCGATGCCACGGCCGTCAACGCCAAATCGTCGCGCTCTCATGCCGTCTTTAGTTTGAACTTGGTTCACAAGAAATCTTCCACAGTCCCCACTTCCACCCGTGAGAAGCGCCGATCGGTGCCCATTGAAATGATGTCGGGCTCAAGCGAGAGCTGGGTGACGGTCGACAGCAAACTGCATTTCGTCGACTTGGCAGGAAGTGAGCGACTAAAGAACACACAAGCCCAGGGTGAGCGAGCAAAGGAGGGTATCTCCATCAATGCAGGTCTGGCAAGCTTGGGCAAGGTCATCTCGCAGCTGTCGGCCCGTTCGCACGGAGGCTACGTATCGTACCGCGACTCTCGGCTCACACGCCTGCTGCAAGACTCGCTTGGTGGCAACGCCATCACATACATGATTGCCTGTGTCAATCCGGCCGAATTCCATCTGAGCGAAACCCTCAACACCGTCCAGTATGCGCAGCGTGCCCGCGCCATCCAGGTCAAACCCCAGATTCAACAGATTCATGATGACAGTGATAAGCAAGCCGTCATCGACCGGCTGAGAGCCGAAGTGCAGTTCCTGCGGGACCAAATTCGCCTATCCGAGCGCACCGACCGAAAGAAGGCCACCCCCCAGGAGCGTGCCGAGAGGCAGGATGAGCGCGAAGTCGAGCTGCAGAACCAGCTGCTGGATGTCCAAGAAAACTACAATGCTCTCAGCGCCCGCCACGCTAAGCTCATCTCTGAGATCACAAAGGCACGTGATGACAACGAGTCGGAGACGCCCATGCTCAAGGATGCAATTGGAGACTCTGCGCTGGAACGACTGAAGCGATCCAACTCGTTCGCCGAGGCTGTCGAATCCGTAGTCTTGGAATACGAGAAGACGATTCAGTCGCTGGAATCATCTCTCTCCAACACGCGATCCACCCTGTCAACCCACGAAAGCGATCTTCTGGAAAAGGAGACGCGCATTGCCATCCTCGAGAGCCAGAACCAACATCTGCAGTCTCGCCTCCAGAAAGCCATGGAGCGTGACGCAAACAACGAAGAGTATGTGCAATCACTCGAGCGCCAAATCGACTCATCGGTCAATGGCATTGAGAGAAACGATTCCGTCATTGCCGAGCTGCGTGAAAAGTTGCAAAAAGCCCGTGAAAACGAGTCGAGCAGCGAAGAGTACATTTCCACACTAGAAGAGCGCCTGGCGGAGAACGAACAAGAAACGGAAATGATGAGCCGTGAGATTGAACGCCTCAAGCATGTGGTTGAGAGGCAGCGAAGCGTCGCCAAGCTTGACAACTTGCTCTACGAACTCGACAAGACGGACTCGAAAGTAGATGACAACCATGTCAACGGTCACTCCAAGACCCCGAGCGACCCCTTTATTGACAAGCGGCCCATTCTCGAGAAGCGAGTCACGGCTGACAGCATGCACCAGTTTGGCACCCCTGTCGACGCCATTCCCGAAGAGGCTGACAGCGAGCGCCCTCAGACTGCTAGTACCTATGCTGCTGCCCAACATCGTGATGCCGAGCACGAAAACGACTTTGCTGTCAAGTCTGTCGCCAACGACCGGTCGCGTGGCGAGGCCAACGAGGAGCCTTCCAGTCCTGCACAAACTCGCTTTGTCCACGACAAGCTCGACACAGTGACGCAAGAGCTGCTGGACCTCCGTGTAGAGCACGAAGGGACGCTTCAAGACTACGAAAAACTTGCCAGCAAGTATCAGGAGGCGTTGCGCACTCTGGCTGCTCTCCAGGATTCTGTAGACGAAGCGCGTCACCGCGCCCCATCGTCTGTACCGTCTTCTCGACCAACGTCTTTTTTAGCAAACGCGGGGGTGAATGGACTCACAGCAGAGGATGGACAACTCTCATCCTCGCGTACCTTGTCTGCGGAATTGTCCTTGGCGGAGTCTGGCAATACCAGTACACAAGACGAGGAGACGGAACTTGGCCGTGATGTGACCAATGCACAACGAGCATCAGTCGATTCGTTGGGCAAAGCCCACCACCTTCCTGACACTATTCTTGTCCAGGAACTCAATGCCCTGAAGCTGCTGCACGAAGAAAAGGAGGAGCGCATCAACCAGCTTCAGCAGACGTACTCTGAGTTGCAAGAAGAACATCAGGATACGCTCGACTACGTCGAAGAGCTCAAATCAGAAATCACAAAGGCCCAGATGAACCGGCCAACCTCACCATCGGTGCACATGATTCGCCGAAAGTCGAGCCAAGCTGTCCTTGCCAATGACCGCGCGAACCGAGCCTTTGCTTCTCTGCGAAACCTGGTTCTGGATACGCTCGAGGACGACGCCGATGCCATCCAGACCTTTGAGCTCAACCTGAACACCATCATGTCCGAACTCCATGCCCGTTCAGAGCGCGTTCAGGACTTGGAATTTGAACTCCAGGCCATTCGCAAGGAGATGGAGGGCAAAATGACCTTGATTAGCGGCCTGACAAAGGAACGCTCCAGCTTGAAAGCCGGATCTCCTCTTGACATCTCCATTGTGTCTTCAATGCAGGATCAGATGAAGCACAACGAGGAGCACATTAGGGAGTTGAAAGACTCACATGCTCAGCGTGAGCAGGAGCTTCGTGCTCAAATCGAGACGCTCAAATCTTCTGTCAAGTCTGCCGAGCATTCGGACGATGCCCTCTCAGTCCGACAGAGGTCGCAATCGCCAGCAGTAACCAACGGTGACGGCCACTCCGACGATGATGTCACGCGTAGCACGGAGCTCACCCGCCTTAGCGATGAGGCTGCACACTGGCAATCCAAGCATCTCGAGGCTATCGAAGCCACAAAGGCCTCGGAGAGGCAGCACCTGGAGACTGTTCGCGAACTGGAGTCTGCGAAGCAACGACTCGAGGTCGACCACGCTCTACGCTTGTCCGAGATTGAGCAGACCAGAGGCGCTGAAGCCGAAGCTGCTTTGCAGCTGGAGCGGGCCAAGCACGCTGAGATGATTGCCGCATTGCAAGCTGAGGTTGACGAGCACAAGTCTACGGCTTTCAGCAACGCTGCTCGTCTTGCTGAACTCGAGGAATCTCACAGCAACATTATCAAGCAAATCGAGGAAGACGCCGAAGCACGCTCGCTTACCGAAAAGGAACTGGAGACGCATCGATCGCTCGTCATCAACTTGGAAAGGCAGATTGAGGAGCACAAGTCGGCCATTGAATACCACCAACAAGGCATGGACTCTATCCAGAAGACGCATGCTGCTGAGGTCGAAAAGCTCACATCAGAGCTCATCACTCACCGAGAGACGGCCTCCTCCTTGGAGGCTGATCTCTCCAAGGTCAAGTCAGAAGTGACGATGCTGATTGAAGGTGTTTCGGCGGCCTTGGGCGAAGAAACCGACATTGGCACCATCCAGTCTCACATTGAGAAGCTGGTCGAGGAACGCAAATCAATTGCCAGTCGACTGGACGAGGCTGTCAAAGATCTCGAATCAGCACGAAACGAACTCTCGGCAGCCACGAGCACCATTACTACGCTCAAGGGCAACATGAAGGAGCTGGAACTCATCAACACCGAGACGCTGAAGGAGCTTGAGAAAGTCAGTGAGAAGGAGCTCAAGAGCGCCCGCCTTGTACAAGAACTAGAAGACCAGCTCAACCAGAACTGGGACCAGCATGAGGCTGCCAACAACCGGCTTTCGGCTCTGCAGACTGAACGCTCTCGCGAGCTCCAGGATGCCATGACCCATGGCGAGGAGCTTGAGAAGGAAGTGCAGGAGTCACGCATCAAGATTGCCCTTCTCGAGGTAAGTTCAACCTTATCCCGGCCTATGAATTCTTCTAACATGGCTAGTCACAACTCGTCGACGCGAAGCGCAACTCTGCTCGTGTGTCCATGGATCCCCGCGAAGACCTTCAGCGATCCAACTCGAACAACTCGACTGCGCGCAAGAGCACGGCGCACACCTCACTACCTTCGCCTCCTCCAGCCATTCCTCTTCCTCCTCTTCCTCCTGGCAGCCCGCCCCCTCAAACCAACGCGCCTTCTCCTCCTACTTCGCGTCATCAAAGCAAAGATATTGCCCATGCTCAATTGGTTGAGGATCAGGAGGCTCGTATCCGCACCATTGAGAAGCACCTATTTGCTGAGAAGCAGCTTACTGCTACCCTAGAGGATGCTTTGACTGACCTGGAAGCCTCAAGTACAAAGACCAAGGCTGATCTCGATCAGTTCAAGAAGAAGTGCGCCACTCTAGAAGAGGAGCTCAATGTTATGCGCAAGGAGCGCAGTGCAGCACGCCACTCTCTTCAAGCCGTTGAAGAGGAGCGCAACGCTCGTCTCCGTGTCGAAGCCGAGCGTGCCCACCTCGAGGCCCGCATGGCAGCTCTAAACAACGCACAAAAGAAGGGCAAGAAGAAGGGAACACTCAACTGCTTCTAAAACTTCGTCGCGCCCGCCCAACGCCACACCTTTAACCTTCATGTATCTGCTTCTTTGCCACCTGCTTCTACCGGCGCACACTGGAAGGGATCATTACATACCACGCTACATACCCCCTTGTTACACTCCTGTTCGATATAGAATGCTTGGATGCTCTCGATGGGGGGGTTTTCTGTTTCCTATATCTTTTGATCATGTCTTTATGCTTTAAACGATTTGCAATGCTCGCATCTCTGGCACATATACCGTTGGATGAGCCTGTCATTTGGACATTTAAGCGGTCCCAGCTTGTTCGTTTCCTCCCCCCTCCCTCCACCTTCTTGTTCTTCTTCTACCACTACTTCATAATGTATATTCCGAGGTAGTTGACGGCTTCAGATGGAAAACACTTTACAGGCTGGGGTGTGTTCTTTGTAACCTGTTCCTCTTCTTCTTGTTCTTTGGTTCTTCAGTTCTCTTCTTTTTCTTTTCTGGGTTGGATTTTGGAGCATTGACGAGCGAGCTAGATACATGACACACAAACAAACACAACACACACAACAAAATGCAAAGCCCCCTCCCCCCCCCTTTTTTTTCTTCACACCATGTGTATATCGCGTGGCTCTTTTCGGTCGTCTTTGTCGGATTATGGAGTTATGTAGCTTATGGATGGAATGGGACTTGGTCCTGTGTGTCTGCGGTCTGTACGGATATGGTGTGTGTGTGTGGATGAGCGTTTGTGCTAGTTTTTTTTTCTTAGTTGGATGCAAAGCAAAACAAAGCAAAGCAAGATTTGATTTAAGTTATGATATGCGTTTCTTCCCTCTCTATCTACATACCTTGCTTTCTGACAATCTTCCCTCTCTATCTACATACCTTGCTTTCTGACAAACGCTGTTTCTTCTTCTTCTTCTTCTTCTTCTTCTTCTTCTTCTTCTCTCCCTTTATATTCTTTTCCTACTCTCTTCTAACACTGAACCTGCGTCTTTCGCACTTGAACTCAAACTCGCACTTGTACTCGCCAACAATAGATGTAGATATATTCCTTTCTACTCTCTTCTATATACAAGTGGTAGAAGAGTGTGTACAGTGTACAGTGTAGGGTGTAACTATTGCTATATATATATACGAGGCTGTGTGGGAAATAGTTGGTTTAGCTATATGCTGGGGGGAAGAAGAAAAGCGCGCTGAGGAACAAAGTATAGATGCTACTTGCTACTGGTTGAGATATGCGTAGCGTGGCATATTGTAGGGTCTAAGAGAGTTTTTGTGAAAGGTGTAGGTGGGGTGCGGATTATATATGTATAGGGTAGAATAGAAGGGTAAAGGGTAGAGTGAAGGGAAGAGTAAAGGGAAGAGTAAAGGGAAGAGTAAAGGGAAGAGTAAAGGGAAGAGCAAAGGGAAGGTGAGCTAATCATCTATGATATATGCTTTGCTGTGGTGTGCTGTGTTGCGGATTACGAGGTCTAAGGTGTAAGGATAAAATGTAAGGGATAATTAAATCATGTACGTAGATCACAGACTGGCAAACACACTAAACTAAACATAGCGAAGATGGGGATATACTGTATTGAATCGCTATTTATTCACCTGTTTTACTTTGTTTATGTACTTTGTTTCCTATTTATCTATTTATTGTTTTTTTATATTGAGCTGAACGTCTAACTATTTATGTAGCTATGCATCTATCTATCTATCTGTCGAACACGCATCCTCCTCGTATACCCTTTAGCACACTTCACACATATATACAACACACGCATTTTGAAAGAAGAAAAAAAGCCAAGGAACAAGTGTGTGTTATCTGGCTGTGTTTCTAGCTTTACGTGTAGATGTGCGAGTGGTGAGATTATTACGTAATTGGCGGTTTGATTGGTTGATTAGCTCGTTGGTTGGTTGATTAGTTATGTCGTGCCGTTTCGTACCGCTAACTGTACCTGCGTCTGTGTGTGTGTGTGTAAATAGAATAGGGCTGCGTTTATGCACGAACGTTGTGCACTGTGTGCTGTGTGCTGTACCGTATGTATGCATGTATGTATGTATGTATGAACTGGGTTACGCGATGCTAGCGCAATTACTGCGCCGCTACTACGCCGTTGCTGTGCCACATCCATATCCATATATCGTCATGCTATATATGGAACCTGATGCGCGGGGATTTTGCTGTGCCGCGCAAGGCAGCGGTGTGCGAGTGCGAGAGGGATTTTCGGGCTGTGTTGGTGGCGCGGTTGGGGGAGGGGTGCGGGATCTCGAGTCAAGGCTTTGGTTTGCGTGTGTTGGGTTTTGCGAGGAAAGAGGAGGGACGAGGGATGGTGTGGATGTGTGATGAGATAGGGAGGGTGGGCAGAGGTAATTTACATGTCAGGGGCGCGTGGGAGTGGCGTTTGGGACTGCGCAAGGGGGTTGAGGTAGGATTTGGTAGAGATGAGTGCTTGGATTTATGGTTTTTCTTTTCATGAGTGGCAAGTTGTTATTTCCCAAGGGATTGAATTCAGGATGGGTAAGGGTGTGTAGCTTGTTGGCGGTTTTTAATATCTACATGTGTGGTTATTCAGTGTACTTTGAGGTTGTATTTCTCTTTTTTTTTGGTGCGTGAAAACAACCGAGTCGGGTCGAATAGATGGATTGAAGACTGGATAGAGATGTACAGGATTCGGCCGATGCGTTGTGGTTGGGGAAATGCTGTATCCTTTCCTAGACGCGTGAACTTGAAGATGCATTTTTGCTTTGTGTTTCTGGCTTTCTAACGCATTCGTTTGGACATTCGCGTATCCAACCCGTGTATAATATCCAGAGGGCTCTCATACACAGTAGCAATGGAGACGGAGAACACTCGAAAGACCCTCGGGATTTGTTCTAGGTAGATCTGTTTGCCCGGTGATACCAAAGTGCCTCTATATCACAATCGAACATTGTAATGTTTACTTTGAGTTGCGGCGACTGGACTTATCTAACTTCTGCTACGCTATGGAAGATAGCGGTCTCCATTGCTAGATAGATTGAGACTTCATCTATGTGGTGTTAATGTGACTCGATACCTGTTGACCAGTATATATTTGAGCAGAATTGTCAGGATTCAGGACCAAAAAAGGGGAGTCCTCTTTGTTGCGCCATAAAAACACCTAATGCTATCATTATACAAATTCTTTGGTGACATTCCATACAGTGAAGATATGTTGCGCTTCCTAACAAAGATGATGAACGGATGACAGGTAGTAGGCTCTTCTCACCTTGTTCGGTCACATCAAATAGCCGATGATGCGAATGCTCTGCAAGCCTTTGTTCTAAACTAACGTTACAATGGCAATCTTATGAAGGAAAGCAGAGCAATAACAAATCTTCATGGGCGCACATTTGTATGGGTGGATTGGATAAATAGCAGGCCAACTCTTCGCCGCACCACATATTATACGGCCAGGATAGGTCAGTGAAATATATAGAGCCATAGTACCTACATCCAATTTCTTGATGATTCACAGAAACGATGAAATAGCCAGTCAATTCCCCCACAAAACTTTGCATTAGGTCCTAAATTTCTCGTGGCGGGTGAGAGTGCTGTAGCCTCAACGTCGCAACCAGTCGACAGATCCAATCGTTACAATATCATCAACACACCGATGAGCACAACAACTCCTGCACATGGCGATACGCTTTTCTGCAAGGTGGATGCAGATGGGTGGAGCCCATGGCCTTTACATAAGCGGCGCTACGGAGGCTCGGCGCCGAGCCCAGAGCTAAAATTTCTGGAGCTCAAAACCGTTCTCGACATCGTTTCCACCACCCACACCACAACGCGCCCTGCTTCGCGCGCTTCTCTATCACGTTGATCGTTGCTAATGTAGCTGTCGCGCATGAAACACGCACTAGGTAAGCCACGCACCGTTCCGCGACTCCTGCAAATGATTATCATATACGAACAATCCAAATCCTATAGCGTCGTGAAGGACTATACAAACTCTAGAATTACAATGATGCACTTAGACGCATCAGCCTTCTCATAGCCTTTTGTTTGCGCAAATTGCTAACAAAGCTCCAGTGTAGTGATTTCCAGGACATGTAGCTCCTCACGCTTCGTTCAATTCTAAAGGTACGGCATCTCCAACCCTCCCCACCATCCGCAGAGTGATGAAAACACGACACGGAAAGGCATTCCTCGACCTGAATATACAATGTCGAACCTCTTGCTTTTAGTTTCAGCCTTGTCTGACACTGCTTCACCCTTCACATGTTTCCACGGTCTTGTTGCATCAAGGTGCTAACTGTGCTCTTGCAGGTACATACCCTCACAAACCCTATGCATTCCACGCACACCCGCTTCCTGATGAAACCCTTTGATGCGTCGGGCGGACATAACGTATACCTCGACTGGGCATCCATCAAAAGCAGGCGTACAAACCTGTGGGTGTTTGGGAGAGGCATTACTTGTTGATACAAGCATCACTGATTGCCCTCACACTCTACACGTATTTTGCGATGCGCATTTGTGGACGTTCTCTAACAGACCACAGGTATGGGAATTTCTCCTTCCAGAAAGACGGTCCATCATTGCAATGATGATTCTTGATATTCACACTGTGTGAGTGGCGGCGTTGTAACGAGCGTCCGTCATACTGATCACTTAACCAAATCTGATTTAATGAGGTATGTCTTGAGACAAGGCTTGTGCTGTAACTGCCAACTGACTCGGTCTAGGCTGAAACCTGATGGACTTGTTCTATTATCCTCTGCGGATGTCGTTGTCTTGTGGACATGCGCTGATGTGTTCATTATAGTTTCTCGTTACCCTCTGTGATGTCTTACCTGTTGTGTTCTTGGTAAGTGCCGCTCTTTGCATACTCTCTCTTTTCCGTATGATGAAAAACATGATCGCTGTGTTCTTTCTTAATCACATTGAAGATACAATCACCTTGGAGAACTGAACCGCACCATTCTATTCATCACGTGCATACTCTGGCTTGGCCGGTTTGCTAACCGCATTCAGTGACCTGGTCCGTTGCTTGCTTATGAGCAAAGCTTCCATGTCAATAGCGTTTATAGAATCAATTTACATTACCTTGTTCAATATTGTGTACCATGTTTGTGTGCGAGTCAATGGTGCTGTGCCGAGAAGATGATTTGGCTACGGTGCCGATGAGGTGATCCAAGGCATGAATGGGCCGTGGTGGTTCCTGGGGTATTGGTGTGCCGTGACCGCTCTTCTCACCGCATCTCGAAGCAGTAGGCCTCAACCGATGGTGGAATGCACCCCCCCGCACATCCGCGAGCAGGCGTTCCCTGTAAGGCGTAAGTAGCGGCAGTTACCAGCATCGTGGGTCCTTTTTGCGCATGTCGACGCCTGTGAGGGGGGAAGCTAAATTCTATTTAGTTCTGGACCCATGGGTCTTTTCTGGCTCGTGTGTGTGTGGCGGCATTATGTGCATGAAAAGGCGGTCAGGATGTCGGCTGCTGAACAGTGTGTAGTTCTCACACGGGGTGGGGGGGGGGGGGGGGGTGCCTGTGCCTAGCTAGCGCATTGGCGCAGCATCAGCAGCAGCAGCAGCAGCGGACCGGGCGAGCTACAGACAGACAGCGGAGTTTCTATGTGACATAGGTCTAGTCTCCAAGTCTCATGTATAGCAGCAGTAGCGAAGCGAGATAGATAGAGATAGATAGATAGATAGATAGAGAGAGATGGGGGTCGGGTGGGGGATGGAGTTATTTTTGTCCATGACTGCATGTGTCAAGTCCGGTAATCATTAGTAGAGAATGGGATCTAGTATGTAGAGACATGGAGATAGATGGGGGATAGTAAGATGAAGAGAGAAATGGAGAAAGAAATGAAGAAAGAAGCAGTGTAGAATGTTGGATATACCCTCCCCTTGTTTTTTTTATTTTTATATTCGTTGAGGAAAAGCGCATGTCATGGAAGCACTTGGTATATTGGAAGGGGGGGAGGCTGGGATGAGACAGAGAAGGGGGAGGAGATGATCTGACAAGACAAGACAAGATGGAACAGATACAGTAGAATAGACGGTGAGAGCACGGGATTTATCGTGCATTAGGATATACATGGATAGCTAACGATGGGGGTTATAGATGTAGGTCTAGGTGTACATAGATAGATAGATAGATAGGTGTGTGTGTGTGTATCTTTGACGCGGGGAATTTCCACGTGTCGTTATGGAACATGTGCATGTATGTAGTACCCACCCACGCACCTAACCTATCTATCTATCTATCTATCTATCTATCTATCTATCCCATGTACCGATTCAGTGGACCTAGGCTTTTTCTTCTTCTGCGTATTTTATTTTACTTTTGTAACTTCTGAGCCATGGAGATGTGGACAGCATTCACTCAGTCAATCAATCAATCAATCTATCTATCTATCTATCTATCCGTGCATGTATTCTTCTTCTGCGCCTCAGCTAACACACACACACACACACATGCATTACAGCTGGGGCTGCATCTTGTTCCAGCTTGTGTCTTGACTCGTTCATCTTACCTGATCTTTTCTTTTCATAGCGGTGGGTCTTGTCCAAGTCGCAGCTGGGGGGGGGGGCAAAAGTGCAGCTTTTGCGCCACATGGGCGGAGTGTTTTTTGTTTTGTTTTTGAATTGGTGACGAGGGATGGGTGGATTTACTTAGCTTTGGGTTGGGTTGGATTGCTTTGTTGTGCATGGGGGAAAGCAAAGGTTAGGCGAGCTTGCATACATGTCCATACAAACAAAGTATTATCGGCTGGGAACTGACAGAAGCAATGGATGGACATGGCTGTATGTGTGTGAGTGTGTGTGTGAGTGCGTTTGTGGGGTGACGTGGTATGTGGTGCAGGTGCATGTGGGGGGCTGGGTGTCTGTGTACATGTGTGTTTTTTCTTTCTTTCCTTCGTTATGCATGTCGCATCGGGGGCGGACGTGATCAACCATGCGTCTTGTCAAGCCACATATTGATTTTTCTTCTTCCTTTCTTCCTTTGCTTGTGGGTGAATGCTTTAATGATAGGCTTGGATTTGTTGGGACAAGTGAGGCATAAGGAGCGAGTGGGCGCTGTGAGAATGATTGGAGTGCTATCATTATTGGACATTTGTAGGGGGGAGTTTCCCAGCTGGCTGACGCCGATGTGTGTTGTGCGTGTGTAGCGAGAGACAGTGCCGACATGTTCTCAGCCCTGGGCATGGTCTAGACATTGCGCTGTGATGAGCAATGCAGCGACTGGCTCGGAATAGGAGACGGGCCTATTGATTGGCATGGGCCGGTGATGGGGGAATGGAGTAGCTCACGTAACCCTGGTCGGGCGGAGCAAGCCGAATCACTCGAGCACACGCAGCTGGCGAGTCTCGGGGGTATTCTGGCCAAATGTTTCGGGCCGGACCTTGCGCACCAGACGTTAAGCTGACGTTGGATCAGGTGTGCCGAGAGAGGATTGCCGCAAACGACCTCGGCTGGTAAAAAGTGAAGTGGAGTGTGTGTGTGTGTGTGGAGAGAGAGAGAGAGAGAGAGAGAGAGAGAGAGAGAGAGAAGATGATGATCAGAGTTTGGGGTCAATAAACGGCCGACAATATCGCGACAAGGCGAATATTGGTTTTGGAGGTTGGAGGGCTGGGGAGGGTGCACAGGCCGGGTGGTGGATGCCATGGCATGATTGGCCTTGTGCAGCTGAGAGGATGCAGAAGACGGGTGAGTGTTTCAATCGCCATGGTGTCAATAAAGGCCAAATGAGACTGCACGACCTCATCCTACAGTACATGCAGCGCATTTCGCACCTACGTCGTGCTGCAGACGGTCGCGCCACATTGTGAAAGAGATGGTACATGGTTGTATGGGGCTGTGTGTGTGTGTGTGTATGGGACAAACAGGTGGCTCGAGACTGACCTACGCCTACTGTACTAGCATCGTATCAAAGTTACTTTTTCCATCCGAACATGGCGGCGTGGTGCTTGCTTGTTCGGATAGCGGGCATGCTTTTGCATGCGGAACCAGTGCGGCGCAAACAAAGCAAAACTTAGTGCAGCCGCACAATGACGTTTTTGTCGTGGGATGCGGTCGGCATGGGCGAGGTGCGTCTGGCGAAACGGCTGAGGCAGCAAGAGGAGTGAAGGTGAAGGTGTGGGTGTGGGTGGGCGGTTGCAACCGGTTTTCCACAAACCCCCCCCCAGAGGCACGAGGCCGGTCTCTTGGACGGCGAGTGACGCATGCAACCGCGGGCGGCCCTGCGGTAGGCTCGCGGTATCATGGCGCCGTGTCGCGTGGTTGCTAGACAGCTTGGCTGTAGTTGCAGCTGATAGTGCGGGATAAGTGTGTGTGTGATGGGGGGGTTATGCACCGCTGTGCGCGAGGTCAAACGCGTTAAGAGACGTGGTTGCTTTTGGGAGGGGGGGCAGGTCAAATCACGGTCGTGTATACCGTATCCGGCACGGATGCTGAGACTGGCGGCCCATTGGGTGGATGTTTACTCGAGAGGTCAAACGGAGCGAGGGCGCGGTGGCGAGAGAATAAGGTTGTGCAAAGGAAAATGGTCAAACAGTGTCGCGCGTTGCGAGACGGGGAGGGGGGTGAAAGCACATGGGAGGAGCGAGGTGGGATGGATGGATGGACGGGTGCTAGTCAGCGCAGCGGAGCGTCGCACTCTTCTGGCGAGGGTCGACCAGTATTAGTTTCCACAAGCGAATGGCGGCGCAGAGGGGAGCCCAACAGACGAGCACGAGTGGGAGTCGTACGGGCCCGGAGATGCTGTGGGCATAGGGCAGGATTCGCAGTGGGCCGGCAATCTATTTGAATAGCCCGCGACAGGGCCAGTGGCCGGGAGAAATATTCTGGAAGAATGAGGGCCCCTGGGCGGGCTGCTGAAGGCCATTTGAAACCCACGCGTCGCCCAGCAAGGCGTGGGCGTGGGTTGCAGGGCGCTTGGGACAGTTTGCAGAGCGATGGCATTTCAGGGTCTGGGGCATGACAGCGCGCGCACACACACACTCACATTTACAGTACACATTCACACTAACCATTCCACTCACTCACTCACACACACACACAGATGCCCAGCGCCGGACACGACGAGGAAAATTAGGATACGGTGGGCTCGGCGGAGGCCAGCATGGTCAGCACACACACTCTCTCTCTCTCTCTCGCTTTCTCGCTCTCTCGCGCGCGCGCACACAAATATCGGCCCAACTGGTTCGCCTTGGGTCAGCAGAGGCCAAACTCTGTCGAGGACAGGTATCGGTCTGTTCACGCCCACGCACACACACACACCCCCAAGGGCAAAGGGCAACCAAGTGCAAGTGTGCCGCGCAAAGAATGGCGGCCGAGCCATTAGAGTTGCCTCTTGCGCTCTTTGCCGTGTGGTCCAGCAGACCAAGTTACACGGCGGCTGGGGGCGCTCCACCCCGCGCCGTGCCTTGGCCTGCCCTGCGTCGGTCGACTGGTGTGATGGCGTAGGGATGATGCCATGACTGAGCGAGTGCGCGACGGGCCTGTGGCCGGCCAGCCCGACCCCTGAGGCCGAGGGTGCCAGCGTCTCATGGGGAGCGAGAGTGTGTATAGGCAGGGCGAGGGTGGTGTGCGCGAGAGACATTTGGCTGTATTGGCAAACCACGGTGCTGGGAGGGCGCGCGCACATCAGCACCAGCACCAGCAAACCAGCGCCAGCAGCAACGCATCAACGACGGTCCTTCTCGCACGCTACCGCTACCGCGACCGCGACCGCGACCACACCCACCGCTTGACTCGAAGCCGCGCTGGGCATGGCAGAGACGGCGACAGAGACGGACGGGCTTCCGGTGTGCCGCGGGAAGGCTAGAGGCACGCCTCGACATGCAAACCACGTTGACGGAAGCACACGACGGCCCCGGCCAATGGCGGCCGCCCGCGCTAGGCTGCTTGCGGCCAATCGAGTAAGGCTGCATGAGCGCCCGGCCAGGAACATGGCACAAATCAGGAACCTGCCGCCACCGGGGAGACGTGCAAAGGGGGGCGCGAAACGTGGGCCGCTGCGAAATGACAGCCTGATGCTTGCTTGTGTCAGTGACGTTCCTGGCGCGCCCTTGGCCGACATGTCCTCCTGGTCCCAGCAAGCCTGCGAGGGCGCTGCGCCCCGGGCCTGCCTGCAGCGCAAAACGGCCCAAGGCGGCGGGCGTAAGACGACTCCGTGGCGGGGCGGCGGCGGCGGTGGTGGCGGCAGAGAAGACGACGACGGCGACGGCGACGGCGACGGCGACGGCCATAGCAACAGCAAGAGCGACAATGGTGGTAGCCATGGCGACGGCGAGCATGCGGATGCGGGCCATGGCGGCGGTGCTGATGGTGATGATGATGACGAGGGGGCCGAGAGGACGAGGCGGGCTTTGCGGTGAGGGGCGGGGTCGGCGGCGTGTCGACATACATAACATGGCATGTACTAGCAGTGCAGCGCTGTGCAGCGCTGTGCACGGTGAATTAGTCGTCGTCGTCGTCGTCCATACATAGCACATGCACACGCCGCGCCGGGCGGTGCATAGCCAGCAATGCAATGCACCCGCCCGCCAAAAATGGCTCGCTCGCTCTGCATTGCGCGGCACGTGACGGGGCATAAATGGGCGCGCGCAAAAAAACACGCGCAGGGGCCCAATGAAAGGGGGAAAATAAACAACATTTCGCGGCCGCGCTGCCCCCCTCGCGCCGCGCTAGCCGCTTCCGGCCCGCCTAGCCCTCCTTTCTGCTAAGCCTGGAACAGCCCTCGCGCCGCCCTTGCCCACTCGCCCCGATCCCGTCGAACAGTCAGCCACCCACCCTCACGCTGACCCCCCCCCAGTGCTTTCATTTCGCGCCATTCACCCCCCAAAGGCGCCACACGCTGCCCATCACAAACTATCCCACCCCCCTCGACTCTGTCCTCGCGCCCTCTCGCCCTCTCTTTCAAAAACCATGCCTCCTGCCCTGACCGCCATCCCATCCGCCTGCACTCCCCCGCCTGGTCTCGCCGCCCATCCGCCCTCGCCCTCCACCGCGCCCTCGCCCTCGCGCGCTGGCTAAGCCCACCCCGTCGCGTCTGTCCGTCTCCGCCATCTGCCGCCTTTGCTGCCAACGCACACAGCAGCGACCGCCCTCACCACAGCAACAGACCGGCTCCTGGCCCAGCTGGCCGCACTTGCCCCGTCTGGGCGCCGCGATCTTCATTACTACGACTCATAACGCTCCCCGAGCGCCCCTTCCACTCTAATCTCTTGGGTCTAGCCTTGCGACTTGTGCTCAGGCCCATTCCCGCGCACCCCCTTGCTGTCTCTCATTACACGACGCCGTCCATCAATCACATCCACGTGTGGAAAGCCGGCGCGTCTTCGTGCGCGCTGCCCATTGCTGCGTCACAATTTGGCTCCCGTTAGACCGCCTTGCCTTCGAAACTCCCCCCCCCCTCCGAGCCGAATCACCTGCTGCTGCTCGCCAACTTTGTCCTCCTTCACTTGCAATTCCATAATCCACATCCCTACCTCCCCGACAGCGCACAGGCGCGCTCCAATCTCCCAGCCCGATCATTAAGCCAGCCGAGCTATGATCACAGACTCATTACTCTTTCATCCTCACTAGAACTTCCTGAGCTTCGGAATACTACCCGTCTACCGTGGTCCCGGGCACGTCTCCACACGCCCTCCCAACCGTCGTCTCTCATTTTCTCGACATTCCCGCACCTGCATCAACCTGGACCCTTACCACACCCTACTATCGCATCTCACACTTCGATACGCACTGAACTCCCCCTCCCCCTCCCTTCTCTCTCACTCTCTCTCTCTCTCTCTCCAATCGTCGACACAACCCAACCCCTCATCGCTGCTGCTGCTGCTCCCGCCGCCGCCCCATCTGTACCATCGTCACCTGCACCCCTCGACCCCTCGAATGGCATGAACTAAACCCATCCCGCCATCCATCAAGCATTACCGCTAAAAAAAAGGACTTGACTACAGGCGAGTCTTGCTGTCCTCGCCTCCCCGCCTCACTTTTCCTAACGCGTCCGCAGTCCCTTTTTTTTCGTCAGGAGCATTCTGCTTACAACAGACCTTCTGTCCTTACACACACACACAACTGCATTTCACATCAAGATGCACTCAGAATCACAAGTTCAGCCACATGGCTGGGCTTCGCTCGAGGAGAGGTATGAAGTAATGAAGGAGATTGGTGATGGCAGCTTCGGTAGTGTTGCACTTGCTCGCGTTCGAACTGCTGGATCCCACATCGCCCGTCGCGGCACTCTGGTACGTACAGGGACCATGCAAGGGAACCATGGCGCCCAAGCCCAAAACTGACGCGTCGTTTTGTAGGTGGCCATCAAGACGATGAAGAAGACATTTGACTCGTTTTCGAGCTGTCTGGAGCTGCGAGAAGTCATCTTCCTGCGATCGTTGCCCCCTCACCCACACCTGGTGCCAGCCCTGGACATCTTCCTGGACCCTTACAGCCGCAGACTTCACATTGCCATGGAGTTCATGGACGGCAACCTGTACCAGCTCATGAAGGCCCGCGAGCACAAGCCCATGGACGCACACAGCGTGAAGAGTATTCTCTTCCAGATAATGTCGGGACTGGAACACATTCACGACCGCGACTTCTTCCACCGTGACATCAAGCCCGAGAACATTCTCGTCTCCACATCGCAGCAAAACGACACATCGCACCCCTTTCGCCGCTACTCGGCCATGATGACACCGCCATCGACACCACCCGTCTACACCATCAAGATTGCCGACTTTGGACTGGCCAGGGAAACCCACTCGAAGCTTCCTTACACCACGTACGTCTCGACCCGCTGGTACCGCGCTCCCGAGGTTCTTCTGCGCGCTGGCCACTACTCAGCGCCTGTCGACATTTGGGCCGTCGGTGCCATGGCTGTCGAGATTGCCACACTGAAGCCACTGTTCCCTGGCGGAAACGAGGTCGACCAAGTATGGCGAGTATGCGAGATCATGGGCAGCCCCGGAGGCTGGGTCAACAAGAATGGCCAACGCGTCGGAGGTGGCGAATGGAAGGATGGTGTCAAGCTGGCCCAGAAGCTGGGATTCTCCTTCCCCAAGATGGCACCACACTCACTCGACACCATCCTCCCATCGCCACAGTGGCCAGCCAGCCTGGCCCAGTTTGTGACATGGTGTCTCCTGTGGGACCCCCGAGCTAGGCCTACGTCGCGACAAGCACTCGAACACGAATACTTCCAGGACGCTGTCGATCCACTACGACTCAAGTCATCGTCTTCTCGCCTGTTGGGCCGCAAGGGTTCTGAGGTCTCCGGAAAAGACTCGCCCGACGCCTCACCCAAGCTCACATCAAAGACGTCTTCGTGGCTCCGCCGATCATTGGTTGCACGCGAAAGTGCCCCAGCAGTGCCACAGCACAGCACTGCCCAGCCCATCTCACCTCGGCCGTCACCTGCACAAGCGAATTCAGGTGATGTGGGTGGGTCGACTAAGCAACGTCTCAATGCCACTAAGCGAGCTACGTGGACAAACGGGGCTTCCAACAATGGCGCGCCTATCCCCATTCTGCCTTCCATCAAGCCAATCTCACCGCTATCTGCTGAGGTGACTGCACAGGCTAATGTTCGTGCCAACAACGATGAACTGGCTGCAAAGAAGATTGGCCGCCAGCTGTCCGTCGCTTCACACGGCAATCACTACGCAGACATGCACCGCCAAGAGGCCGAGCGCGCACTGAATGGGCAGTTGGACGTGACTTCTCCCCTCAGTGGACAGAAAGAAGGTTTCTTCTCACACCTCAGGAAGCGCGCTCGACGCCTGTCAGGCCGCTACCAAACCCCCATGTCGCCCAATTCAGATGACATTGAGGCCAATGCAGGATGCGCTCCCTGGGCAACCACGACGAGCGCTAGGCAGTCTTTGATCATGGAGCAGTCACAAGCCGCCAGCCCAGCAGCCTCAACCTCGGAGTTTGCTGAGCTGGACAAGGCGTTGCAACATGTGCGCGACAGCGTAGAAGCCCACTCCCAACAGAGTGCGTCGGCAAAGAGCTCACGTGTCGCATCAAACCCCATGCTCAAGCGCCATCACTCTGTCCCACACGGCCCTGAGCCGCGAAACGGAGAGAACAACGGCAGCGCCCCTGTCTCGAGCAGGACACGCCGCGCCGTGCAGAACAAGTCGAACCCATCAAATCGGTACGAGACACCCAACGAAGAGGAGGAGCTCCTCAGTGAGGTTCTCGCATCCACACACAAGGCGGCAAAGAAGCTTGACAACGAGAAACAGTCGGGTGCTGCTGCATCTTACTTGACACCCTCGCCGTCGGCGAATCGCAACAGCGTTGGCTTTGGGCAGTCCGACTACGCAACACCAAGCAAGCCCATGGACATTTCCAAGAACCATACCAAGGAGAACAACGACCCCGTATCCAAGTGGCCAACACCACCATCCGACGGAGACTTGGACTGGGCTTCGAGTGTCGCGGCTAGCCTCATGGCTGCCCAAACCCGACACCGATGATATCCAACCTTACGGGACCCGTACTTCCTTTCGCCTTGCCTTCGCTGCATGTTCTTTCATCCGTATAATTGTAATTTGGGTCACCGTACCCGCTCCTTGTCGCTTCCTATACGACCCTACGACCTTGAGCTCTCCCGTCTGGAACGGTGCACGATTACAGAAAGATAGACACAGACGCGGTGCGCTACAAAGCCCTCAAAAGCAAGCGCATCTTCGGGGACGGTGTTATTGGCGTCATAACACCCATTGTCCCTCTGCGCACCCACCATCCTTTATCATCTCGCAACAACGGAAAGTTGCCCGTTGTTTCTTTTTCAACATCACTTCCACATTCGCTCTGTAACACCACCACCCATTTCCTTATACTGAACCATATTCTCGGGCGGCATCTTACTTCATATCTGTGGTGGGCGGTACACATCGTCGTCTTTCCATTTCGTGGGAAATTGTCGACATGCTGCGATTTCTTGGGCGGACATCCTACCACACTCCAAGGGTTCCCCGTGTAAGCCCACTTACCGGGTTGAGCCTTGATTTTCTGTTTCAAAAGATCCTTTTTTTGGCGCACGCCCGTGCCTGGCTCAATCGGCAGCGGCGCGGCGCGTCACTCCTTCCATCATACCATACTAGACCGAGTTTTTTTTTCATTTTCATCTTCACCGTGTTTCGTTTCGTTGGCGGATACCCCAATTTGCGCATTTGGCGACTACATCACACATACCATTACCTTTTTACAATATCCTTGTTGGTTAAAGGCAAAGGGAAGGGAGGGAAAGAACCGGGTTTTCTTGGAATAACTTTGGGGCATACATGGTTGGTTGGTCTGGTGGTGGTGTTGTTGTAAAGAATAGCTCTGAGCGATCAACTGCCTTCTTCTCTCTACTACATAAACATCTCTCTCCTTGAGTCCTGCAAAAACGTTTCGCTCTTGGCGCGTTTCTATCTCCTAGCGTCTGTTGTTTTCTTTTTGGTTTCTCTTTCTTATCCTCGTTTTCTTTGCTTATCCGCCAAAAAATACTGGCCCTCCTCCCTCCATCTTACCCCCCCATTGTAATACGGTAATACCGAGGCAACATATTATTGTAAGAGCCCAGGATGGCTCGGTCCAGTCAGACCCCCAAATCTTGTACATTTCTGTCTGCCTTTTGCGCTTTTTTTGCGCTCGGGCCCTATGGGAAGGAGTTCGATACCACCTGGCATTATCTTCTGGTTTTTCCGGATTTTCTTTTTTTTCCGGTTTTACTTTTACTACAGAAACCGCGCATTACCATATCATCATATCGATCCTGGGGCTGGCTGCCTCTTTCCTATTTTTCACCCCAGGACGTGTAATTCTTGTTTTCTTTTTTCTGCTCCCCCCCCTTCCATCATCATCACCCTCGCTCTCGCATACGCATTCACACTCTCAGCATCTTTTTCCTTTTCCCCCACACTCCAACCAATCTCGTATGTAAAAAAAAATGTAGCTTTAGAATATAGTTCAAGTAGTTGGTTTAGCAGCTTTGTTTTTGCTTTACTTACTCGCTGCACACTCGCTCGCTCACTTACTCGCTCACTTACTCGCGCACACGCACACACACACACACACATACACACACTCGCCCTTCATATATTAGCATTAGCAGCTGAGTCGTACCGTTGCGCTAGCTTCTTGTTTCTTCGTCTTCCTTACCACCCCCCCACACTCTTCCTTTGTTCATGCTCTCTCTCTCTCTTCTCTTCTCTTCTCTTCTTTTTCCCTTGTCTCTTCCTGTTCTTTTTCCTTTCCATGCTCCTCCTCGCTCCTCAACACTGCTGTTGCTACTGCTACTACGCACTCCTGTTGCTTTCACCGGCTTTTCTCACCACAACCACGACAACAATATCCAACCATCATGCCCATCGATCGATTAAAAAAAAGGATCCCTGCCTTGTCTTTCTTTTCTTTCTTTTTTCCTCGTTACAAGCGTCAGCCCCTCTTTTTTTAACCAACGTGTTTACTGTTGAGTGCTGAGTGCTGAGTGTTGACTGTACTATGAGCTGTATGCTGTACTATGTGCTGTCCGGCCGCCCGCCCCTAACGCTCCTACATATCCAGCGAAGATGCCTGTTATCTGCATCAATGCCATGGCACGTTACATGTACTATAGTATAGTATAGTATAGTATAGTACGGTGTAGTATGTCAACGCACGGCCTACATACAATACCATACCATACCATACCATATGGTACGATAACGTGTAGTAACGGTTCCCCCGCTAGCCTCATCGTACATGCACGATATATCCAAGTAGTGTACGTGTGTGCGTATCTATAGTACAGCAAATGCAGCTAATTCTTTACCTCAGTATCATGTATATCCTACACCCCCGCACCCTCCCTTCCTTTTAATCACTCACTCCCCCGTGGGCACGTACATTTATATAGATACGTAGATACGTAGCTTGGCCACTAGGTATACATAGCAGGGATACCCTAACCTAGGCTACTGTATCTTATCCCACCTTATCCCACCTTACCCTACTATATCCCCATCCTAAGCTTCCATCCCCCTCGATAGTGTTATGCCACGCCACGCCACGGCCACGGCCACGGCCATGCTATACGCACCCACAGCACCCCTGCTCATACGTTCTATGCGTAATGCGGGATCCGGTAATACCGCATGTACATGCATGTATATTACGTAGACGTAGGGTGGAGACGGGCAAGTGCGATGTGGCGGTGGGCGGCTGGATTGTCGGTTTCCAGAGCTGATGGCTGGTGGGGTGGTGTGTTGTGGATAGGAGGGGCGTTGTGAAACGGGGGTTAGAGGCTGGTGGGTAGGGGTGCGTGGGGTAGTGAGTGTAGTGGTGAGTGGTGAGTGGTGAGGGTGAGGGTGTAGGAGGGGATGGGAGGGGGAGGAAGGGGGGAGTTGAAGGGGTAAGAGATGAGGTAGGGATGCTGTTGTTGGTTGGGACTTTGATGCCGATGTGGCTGGTTGGCTTGCTTGCTTGCTTGCCTATTCACATACATGGCCTTTGCCTTGCGTTGCCCATGTCTCGTTTTCAACCAAACTAACTGTCTACAGTCTCCATGTCCTCTGTCTTTTACTTGACCAGAGCACCTATATGCGTGCTCGTACACAGCTATCAAGACTCACTTTCATAACCCATATTCTTCTCGCTTTCCCCCACTTCTTAGTATCACTCACTTCTTCTTCTTCTTCTCCTTCTTCTTCTTCTTCTTCTCCTTCTCCAACGTCGTTAGATATTTCAAAGCACACGTGCAGATACTTCATAATTGTATTCCTAACTATACCTTTGAAGTACATGTACCAGGAATTAACGACGCGTCGACGTTCAACGTCAAAGACATTATTAGAACTCTCGCTTTGCAAAACCAACATGTGTGCTTGTGCGTTGGGGCTGGATATGTGTGCTATATTTATCTATGTATACATCTGTCGGTCTGCTAGTACCCCGTGTGCTGTGTGCTGTGTCTTGAATTGATGATATAGCCGCAAGTCGCTGTTGTCCGGCTATGTTGGTGTGGATAACGAATGCGACTTGATTCCTTGATTCATTCGTGTCTAGCGATAAAAAGAGCGCTTTAAAAAAAGACATAGACGTGCAAACAGCAGCGTGATACAAAACACACAGCCATGCAATCTAGAAAAGAGTCAGCAAGCCAAAGTCACCTAAACTATGTACTTCCAACATAACCTAACACACTGCACACATAGCACATGCAAACTCTATTGCGCCAAAAAGGGGTTTTTTTATCATGCACTTTCAATTACATATAAATGCTACATGCTATATATCGTATATACCAATAATCTATATATAAACGCCCCATACATGCTTGATCATTGCAGCGAGAAGCAAGAAAAAAAAGTCATACATCAAAACTACCACCCACCACCAACCGTAACAGCCAGACCAGCTACTCTTTCCATATCGCTCTGCTTCTTCTTCTTGCCGACGTCGCTCTCGACTTTGATGTACGAGGTATAAATGAGTTTTTGCTGCTCTACACCCGTGATTTGGGACCAGTGCGCCATCATGTCTTTCATGTGGCTTCTTGATATGCCGTCGATCATGTCTTCGGGGGCGTGGTGGCCGTTGGTAGTAGTGGTGGTAGTGGTAGTGGTAGTGGTAGTAGTATGATCACCACTGCTATCGGTCTTTTCATCTTCAGAATCCGTAGCTGAAAAGTAAGCTTCGTCGACTCTGGCCAGCCACTCTTTTTGTTCCTTTGGGCCTGGCTTTGGTGCTGGTGCATCTTCGTTTGCTTTTTGAATGCCCTCGTATACGCGCACCTCTTCGACTTCTTGGACTTTGACTTGTCCTCCTCCATTTGTGCATCCGCCTGGGCAGGCCATGACTTCTACATATGCGTAGTCTTTAACACCTTCACCGGCTGCACTGGCTCCGCCTGGCTTCCGGCTGACACCCGTCTTGCCACCTGGTAACCTGCTTGCTCTTGCTGGCTTCAACCGCCGAACCAAGTTTTGGATATTGCGGAAACCGTAGAACCGCGCTGCTTTGATAATGGTTTCTGAGCCCTGCACCACGGAGTATTCGACTACATCGGAATTCCGGCCTCTTGTTACTGATATGGATGATCCTGGGTTTCGTACCTGGTATGTCTGTAGAATGTGATACAGGTATCCGCCAGAGGGCCCGGCAACAACACTCTGGTTCTTCCGGCGTGAAGACGGGAATAGAAAAGCGTCCAGTTTTGGGTCTGGGAATGGCGTTCGGTCTGATGAAGAAATTGGGGTCCGAGGAAGACTGGCAAAGTTGATGCCACGGGCGGCGGCTAGGTGTAGTAGTTCACGAGCAGTAATAACACAGTCGGTGTCTCGTATCTTCTCCTCGGACTGGTTGTAGCTTGGTAACCAGGCAGCAGATGTGAGCTCACTGCGACTGGCTTCAAGCTTCTTGTCAAAACAGGGCATGATTGCGAGATGCCATATTTGTGACGGAGGTACATTGTAGCGCTCGCTGAGGACTGATTTGATCAATGTACCGGTAAGCGCTTGTGGCGACTTGAGGCGCGACAGGTGCGGCAGAACGTATGGATGCGTCTTTTCAGCATAGCATATCCAGCCAGGACATGCAGATGTGAGGATAGGTGCCTTTGGTATAGTATCAATCGCGCCTTCAGAGCCAGGTTTTGGCAATGCCTTTACCGCGGCGGGTGAAAGCGCATTGGTAACCTCGTCTGCGGCTGCTACAAGACAAGCTTCTCGCATTGCGTTGATATCAATGACCCATGTAAAGTCGCTTCCCTGGTGGCCGCCAGATCTCAAGCCGCTTGGACCGCTGAGGAGCTGAGAAATCATATTCCCAGCCTCTACTTCGGAAACATTGAAGACGGCTGCCAGGCTTGCGCGTGTCTGCGGCGAGACGCTTGCCACGAACAGCTTTCCCTCGGACTTGCTCCCGTTCACCGCACCGTTTGCGCCACCGCTTGCGTGTCCGTTGGCGACGCCGTTCGTCCCATTCTGTGCCAGCCATGGCGCGCGCAGCGATCGGTACGTATCAAGCGTCGTCAGGACTTCAGTATGCGATTGCAGCGAAACCAGTACCGCTTCCGCGCTCGTTACACAGCCCGAACAAGCAAGACAATCTGTCAGCGATATGGAAGCGGGCGGCGGCGGCTGTGAGGCAGCAGCCTTCTCCTCGGTGGTGACTTCGTAGGCATTCTAGCAATTGTCAGCATGCGCCCACCCACGATGCAACACAAACAAGGCGCATACCAGCGTCTCTTCTTGCTGCGCCGGCAGCGTCTCAATAGGCTTTATGCACGCGACACCCGGCGAGATAAAATCGTTCAGGTCATCGGCGGAAAGAATGGCGCTCATTGTGCGCTGAGGATTGGCGGGGAACGAGGGGTGGCAAGCCCAAGAAGGGAACGAGAATGTTTGCGAAGCGACTCAGCGAAGACAGCAAGAAAGAAAAGAGAAGAGAAAAAAAAAGACTCCAACTAGCAAGACAAACGAACAGCAGAATGCAGAAGCGTGGCAGTCGCAGAACAAAAAGGCAGAGTCCAAATACCAAAAAAAGGTTCCTGGTTTCTAGGGCCCGATGTCGCGGAGAACAGGTCCCTTTGCAGTCATGCAACGCGCCGCCAGCCTATCGATAAGCCCGCATTTCCAAAAAAGTTTCCAACGACACACCTCCGCGGCGCCTTGCCACACTGCCACTGCCGAGATACCCACTTGCTTTGAAACCATGCCCTCCTCACGTGCATGTTCCGATGACCTCCGACCTCACCCCGTTCGCAGATGACGTTTGCATCAGTTGTCACAACACAGCTCCACACAGAGCATACAAGTAATACTGCTTGACAGGGAAGCGTCAGAAGGGGAAAAGGAGAAATCAAAGTTTCTCAAGTAGAGTTGCATGCAAAAGATACGAATCAAAGTAAGATATCAAGTTTGTTTTGAGTAAAACGTAATGGTAATAATGTCTTCGACTCTCCCTTTCCTCTTTGCCTTTCGTATACCCTCATCCCAAGACATAGCCAAATCGCCTTTGCTCTTCACGTTACATGCAACCATCATCCTACACATAGCCAGCCCTGCAACCTCCGCACAACCGATCCTCGTACCCGGTTCCTGCTTGCTTGCAGTCCAAATGACTAGTGATTAAACATTTCAAGAGAAACGAATCGAAGGTATCATAAAAGGAAACAGAATTTCGGCGACTGTCCTGCTTATCCCGTTCGTTCTGGTTTTAAACGCCTAATAGAAGGAAAAAAGAAGAAGAAGAAAATAAGAGCTCGCGCAAAACAGTGCACAAAAACACTGGGTATATGACTTTGCGCCGATTGTATGTTCAAATGGACCAAATGCGTGCGGTGGTGGGGTTCAACAGATGGCCCGTAGCTTTGCTGCAGCGAGTGCAGCTTGTCGCTTGCGTTGTATGCTCCTTGGTCTCTTTGTACCACATATAGGCACCCGCGACGGAGAAATCCCAGGCCTCGAGCGCACAGCCTGGAGGGGCTCAACGATGCTTTTGGTCCAAACTCCCATCGTTGAAGCGGGGAGACTAAGCACAGAGCTCGAGCTACAGTGAAACGTTGAGTTCGTGTCTTCCATGCCGGCGTAGAAGTCGTAGATGTGCTACTGGAGCGTGACGGCTTTCCAGAACCACCCGTATACTTTTGGAATTCCAACTCTTTGATCATGACTCTTCACTCAATCAGTGGTTTTCGTACGCCCCCTACAATGGAGATTCCCAAAGCGCGTAAACCATCTGGGTCGTTGGATCGAACAATGGTACTGGCAGGAAGCATAGGATTGTCAGGCGCAACGTGTGCGGCATCCTTGGCAGCTTGTTCAATGGCCTCCATCTCTTCTTTACAGCCAGCGTGATCGAATGGACATACAACAATGGGCTGCCGGAGTAAGATATCTCGTGCCGACGACATCTGGGCCTGCAGCTGGTCAGTAGTTGTACATGGACACAGTCTGGTTCAACTTACCTTGACTGTAAGATAATACTCAATCTTGTACAGGGTTCCCGTCGTGGTGAAGCCATTTACAGCATACATGGGAAATTCTTTCTGTCCTCTGGGTATGACCCCTGCGCTGTCCCGTAGATCTTTTGCCGGGAAGACAAGTCCTAGATTGGTGAAATAACCCGCTTCGGGCATCTTGACGCCGACTGCCTGTGTCGTCTTCACCAACGTCTTGACCTTGCGTGTCGGTTCATCGCCCTCGTGATTGAAGATGATCTCCTCGTCTATGCCGACCGTAATCTTTTGTATTGTGACCCGTTTTGCCTTGTTAAGCCAGTCCGGGTTTGGACTCAATTTGATATACACTGAAACCGGATCGAGCGGGCCGTAACTCCAACGCGGCAAGCTTATTCCAAGAGTGACGAGATGGTCCGTCACCCGTTCGGCGCTTTCAGGCCGGTTGTACATGCCAAAGGTAGACAGGGTGTCATAACGCTGGATGGGCACAGCAAACGGGTACTTTTTCTGCTCCTGCGGTCCCTGCTGCACCGTCACGACCAGTTCGTAAAACGTCTCAGCCGTGCGACTCGGCAGCTGTAAGCTTGCAGGCGGTACTCTCCGGGCCACCTCCTCACCACCGCGTCCATATGGTATAAATATGACGAACGGCAGGTCCATGCACAATATGCTTTCATGCTCTCGCCCCGGCGCACATCGATACAGCAGCATTTCCTTGCCCACAATGTCGGTGATCTCCTTGCGCGGGGCTGCCAAGTGCTTCTTCGTGACCGAGTCGGCGGAGGGATGTATCGTCTCGCGACGGTGCAAGGCAATGGTGACAAGCGAGATATTCACAGGCGCTGAGACACCGACGAGTGGCCGGATCTCTACTTTGCCTTCTATTCGAGGCTGAGAGGTGTCAGCATTGGGCCAGTACCCTTGCGAAGGGGTTGCGCGTCATCCAGCCGCGGCAGCGGGAGGGGGAGATTGGAGCGCCAGGTGCACAATTCTGACGGGGAGGGAGGAGGAGCACGTACAAGCGTAGCTGATATGCCCGGGTAGCCGACGAGAAAGTTGCTGTTGGGCGGGCCTGAGACGCGCACAAAGGCCGACATGGTTGCAAGTCACAGCGCAAGCCTGGGGACGGCAGCCCGCGCTGCATGGGCGTGACCGTGACCGTGACCGTGGCCGTCGAGCACGCGGGCTTTGGGGGGTGGTGGTGGGAGTGGGAACTGCGCGGTCGGGGTTGCAGTGCGATGCGCCGCGTGCGAGTGCTGAGAGCTAGCAACTGTAGCCTTCCGGGCGCAGCAGCGAGTGTGGGGTTAGGGCGATGTCGACGCCGCGACTCTTGAACCAGCGGGGCCTATCTCGGTGGGCGGCAGCGAGGCCGGTGGCTGCACGGCGGGCCGACCAGCGAGGATGCAAGAGAGATACGAGATGGTGCGTGTCGTGGGCGCGGCGGCTAAGGAAGTATGAGTATGCGTGCTGGAGTCGCTTGTGTCCGTCCCGACGCTCGTGGGAATGCTGGGCCTGCTGGGCCTGGCCTGGACGGAGCGGAAGCCTGGGCGGGAGCTTCCCTTCAGCTGGGCGCGGTGGCGTGGCGTGACTGGAGCAGCGCGGCGATGGGAATGAGACAACAGGCGATTGCAGCGGTGCAGGCGTGCAGGCGTGCAAACGTGCCGACGTATGTACGAGTATGGTACGTATGTCGATGTGCAAACGGGGCTGACGCACCGTGTTCTAGCCGCGGCGCAGGTGGAGAGGCAAGCAATAGCTCAGCTAACGAAGTAAGCTCTCGACCCTCGCCCGCCGTCCCAGTCTCTGCCATTCGACCGCGCAATCCTTCGTGCGCAGCCAACACTCAGCCTCAACCCGCCATGTCCGTCACCGTAAGTTGCCCTGCCCGCACCCTGCCATGTGGTGCTGACCGCGCCCAGCTGCACACCACCAAGGGCGACATCAAGCTCGAGGTCTTTTGCGAGACGGTCCCCAAGACGGCCGAGAACTTCCTCGCCCTCTGCGCCTCGGGCTTCTACGCCGGCTCGCCCTTCCACCGCATCATCCCCTCCTTCATCGTGCAGACCGGCTCGCCCGCCTCGGACCCCAAGTCCAAGACGTCGGCGTCCATCTTCGACACGCCCAACCAGCTGTTCGACGACGAGATCCGCCCCGCCCTCCGCCACAATGCCCGCGGCATCCTGAGCATGGCCAACAAGGGGCCCAATTCCAACGGCTCGCAGTTCTTCATTACCCTTGCGCCCGCCCCGCACCTCGACGGCAAGAACACCGTCTTTGGCAAGGTCCTGGAGGGCTGGGAGGCGCTCGACGACATGGAGCAAGTGCACGTGGACAAGAAGTCGCGCCCGCAGGAGAGGATTGAGATCAAGAGTGTCACGATACATGCAAACCCCTTGGCGGGCTGAGCACCTGCGCATCCAGACAAGAATCAAGCAACACCGCAAAATCACCGCGCATATCACACAGGCACCACCGCAGACGGCCAACATGTACTCGGGTATGAAATCATTTTGTGCTCATCGTGGCTGGCGAGGCCCTGGTATCTTCTGAAGCGCCGACCCAATGCAACAAGAGTCAAGGAAATCTACAAGACGTGGACTTTGCCCAATTCCTTCAGGCGCCATTGCTCGTCGCACCGTTCGTCGCCGCATGCTCTTGCTCGTAGCCCTCCGTCTTCATATCCCTCAGACCCAGATCCTCCTCCTCGGCCTCTGTCCGCTCGTAGTCTTCGACCTTGATCTGTGGGTCTGGCTCTGGCGCGGTGAAGCTCTGAACATAGCTGCTCGCAAGAGGGTCTCTGAGCACAATGGTGAACTTGTCCTCGCCGTTGATAGCAGCAGAGAGGCTGTTGAAGAAAGTGGTCCACTTCTGCTTCGTCTCGGCGTCCATCGAGTCGCCGCCATCGCCCGCATCAAAGATGGAGGATTTCAGGTCGTCGCGGACTTGTGTCAGGAGACCTTCAATGGTGGTGAACCGGCCACCAAGCGTACCAGGCTCGACACTGAGATTCAGTTCAGGGCAAGACATGGCACATGACTCGGCCTTGAGGATGTCTCGCGACAGATCCTCTTTCGTGTCAACGGCAACAGTGATGAGGCGGCCCTTTTCAGGAACTTCACCTCCCGTCTTGACCTCGTTGCTTCGGTCTGCAGTGCGTTAGCAATCGTCTGTGCTCCATTTCTTAGAACAAACTTACATCCGCAGTGATCGCACACGGTGCTCATCAAGACTACTTGCTTGAAGTGAGGAATGTTGACCATCTTCATGTTTGTAGTGCACGGCTTTGTGCATCCGGGACAGCTGGCTGGGAACGAGTAGACCTGGTTCTCCACGATATCATCGTCGTCTACGTTGTTCACCATGGGCGCATGGGCAGAGGGCATCTCAGGGTACATTTGCGAAGCGTGGTACTCTGGTCGAATTTCTGTGGCGGGTGCCTCGCCGTTGGTGTCTCCAAGGCCCAGCGCCTCGTTCTGTGCGGCAGTTCGTGGGTACTCGTTTCGGGAGTATTTGCCCGCAGAGAGGACAGTGGGAGGCTCAATCGAAGAGTTGCCGGCAGGGTCGTCCATGGTCAGCTTGAACGGCAACTTCTCTCCGCTCGACATCTGCTTGAGTGTGTTGATCACACCCTGCAGCTGCTCGTAGATCTCTGGTACCACCTCTTTTCTCTCGTCCTGCTTCTGCTCCAAGTCTTGCGCAACCATGGTGATGATGCCCTCGACGTTAGTCAGCTGCCCTCTGCCTGCGGGTATCTCGAGATCGATGTCTTCGATGCGGAAAATGGCAGTGTCACTCTTGATAATCTGTCGGCTGAGGTCATCGGCGGTTTCGATTCTGAGCGAGAATCGGACACCTCGCTGTTGTATCTCGCCAGCGGGCTGGACCTCGGAGTTCTTAAAGTGGCAATGCGGGCATGAAAAGGACATGAGAACAATTTCGCGGAAGAAGGGTATGCGGGTGAGGAGCAGGCGCGTAGTTCCCTTGGGAAGTGTTAGCTAGGTAGATACATCTTGCAGCTATACCTACGTTCTCGTGGCAGTTCATGCACAGGCTTTCAATCTCGTCGACAACCTTGCTGCCCTCGTCGTTGTCTCCTTGGGCGCTTGCCTCTGCGACCTTGCGGCCCATGTCCTCGAAGAGGTCCTTTGCAAGACTCTGATGCTGTGCCATGGTTGAATCTGTGTGACTTGGTCGTAGAGTGGGACTTGAGGAAACTGAATGTGCGTGTCTGTGAGGAGGCTTCGCCAGAATTATGACGAAACTGGTCGAATTTTTTTTGAGTCGCCCCGCGTCGCATGGCGGGGTTTCGCTAAGCCGCGGCGCATCCTGGCAGGCGCGTTTACTCAGCCCTACGGAGTTTACATGGCAAAATCCATTAGATCAAGCCCGCCACTGCCCGAGTCCTGCGACTTCTTTTTGTCAAGCATTGCTTGGAGGCCACCTTTTCGTGCCTTTTGCCGCTGTTTACTGCTTGCATTCAGCGTCTTGGGCGCGCTGTCAACTTCTTTTGTAGGCTTTCCTGGAACTGGGACAGGCTGTGCATCCGGCACAGGTGCCGATTTCTTGCTCTTTCTGCGTGGTGTCTGTCGAAGTGCTTGTTGTGTTTCCCGATGGCACATGAGGCATGTATAGTGTATGGTCCTGTCTAGCTGTGGCGGTTTTTTGGAATCCTTCTTCTCTTTTCTGGTGATGCCGTTGCCTGGAAGATGGCTCGAAACTCTGCAGGACCATCCAGGAATCATGACATTTCCGCAGGCGTTGCAGATACTTCGACGATAGGCATTGGCTTCCTTGGCTGGAATTTCGAGCTCAGCATCTTCAACTAGCTTGTTACGTGCTCTTCCGACGAACGCTGCTGCCATTGGCGAAGGGACAGCGAGGAGGTGAGCAGCCTCTTCAAGGAACCTTGCCCTTGCTTCGGTTGGATCGGTCTGTGCCATTGTTGGAGCACCTGTATGATCTCGATGCAGAGCTACCGAGCTGCAAGTCTGGTGTCACCACGTGATCGCTTCCTGTCATAACGCCGATCTCCGACGCTAGCAGCTGCAGGTCCCTCGGCCGTACCTCGCTCGATAGCTTTTTGGATCCCAGTGTTAACTTTCAGTCTGCATCACGGTTGCTTGCTTGCGCCAATGCTTGCACCCATAAACTCGCCGGTATCGTGGTCGTGCCATTAGCGAATTGAGTTCACTAACACCAGCTGCTTCACGCCGCCAAACATGGCAGCGCCTGAGTTGATCGCACGTCATGGGCTGCGGATAGCAATAGAGGGTTGTGGTCACGGAGTGCTGCATGATATCTATGCGTCGGTCGCGAAGTCGTGCAAGATGAAGGGCTGGCCTGACGTTGACCTTCTGATTATCGGTGGTGACTTCCAGGTACGTATTGTTGATTGCAATACTCATGCAATATCTGACGTTGCAGGCGGTTCGAAATGCGTCCGATCTCCAGGCAGTATCGATGCCGTCAAAATACTACGCTATGCACGATTTCCACGAATACTACTCAGGCGCACGCCTCGCACCCTATCTCACCATGTTCATTGGCGGTAACCACGAAGCGAGCAACTATATGTGGGAACTCTATTACGGCGGGTGGGCTGCACCGAGGATATACTACATGGGCGCAGCAAACGTGATGCGGTTGGGACCCCTTCGAATCGCGGGTCTATCTGGAATTTGGAAAGGCTACAACTACAAGAAGCCTCACTACGAGCGCCTGCCGTACAACAGCGACGACGTGAGGAGCATCTATCACGTTCGGGAGCTCGACGTCCGCAAGCTGCTCCAGATACGCACGCAGGTGGATATTGGACTAAGTCACGACTGGCCGCGCGGCATGGAGTGGAAGGGCAATTATCGGCAGCTTTTCAAATGGAAGCCAGACTTTGAACAAGAGGCCAAAGATGGCACCCTAGGCAGTGTCGCTGCAAAAGCGGTCCTGGATCGCCTGCGGCCACCGCACTGGTTTAGCGCCCATATGCATGCCAAATTTCCGGCGGTGTGGGAGCACACAGACACTCATAATAGAGCACAAGAGAGCATGGACGCCAAATCCGAAAGCACAGCCGTGAAGAAATCTGAGATGGATCTCGATGTGGCAGGTGACGCGCCCGCACCAGCACCGAAGAACGATGCGGAGATTGATCTGGACATGGATGAAGATGGCACTCCGCCTGCACCCGCCATGGAGGACCAGGAGCGCGGTACAACCAAGCCTAGCAGTGCCGAGGACGAGTCGGATGTTCCGCAGGATGTTCGGGACCTCTTGCCCGAGTCGTTTTCCCGTCCCAAGACGGAGCAGGTGTCGACTCTGCCCTTCCCCAAAGACATTACAAACACGATGACCAAGTTTCTGGCACTTGATAAGTGTTTGCCTAAGCGAAACTTTCTGCAGCTGCTAGAGATTGTGCCACACACGCCAGCGGCGATAGAAAGGCCTTTGCAATTACAATACGACAAGGAGTGGCTTGCCATCACCCGGGTGTTTGCTGATGACTTACAGGTTGGCGACGTGCACGCTCAGGTCCCTGCGGACAAGGGGGATGCCTTCTATCGGCCGCTGATAGAAAAGGAAATGGAGTGGGTTGAGGAGAAGATAGTCAAGGCGGGCAAGATGACAGTGCCGGAAGACTTTGCGCAGACGGCGCCTGTGTACGATGCCGCATTGGGTATCCACGTGCAGCAACCACCACGCGAGTATAGCAACCCGCATACTCAAAGGTTCTGTGATTTACTGCAGATCCCTAATGTGTTTGACGCATCAGATGAGGAGCGGAGGCAGCTAATGCAAAACGGTCCGAGGCCGGAACAGCAGCGGTCCAATCGAGGAGGGGGAAGGGGTGGAGGGGGACATGGAGGGGGTGGACGTGGTCAAGGGCATAGAGGTCGAGGGCGGGGCGGGAGGGGAGGACGTGGTCGAGGACGGTGGTAATGACTCGTCGAGGGCAAGCCCGCAGCGGCGGCGCTGTGACGAGGCAGCTTTTTTTACGTTTCAGAATAACGAATGTCGGGATGGTCATGGACGAGCAGCGCACGAGGGCCACATGACCCTAGAGCGTGGCAACCAAGGGCTCTGGCGACTGGTATACTTGTAGTGTATGGTGGCTAGCGCTGTTGGTGGAGGCGCACATGTGCATGCAGGCGGGCCCCCCGCATTTGCAAAGGCCATGGAGGCAGAATTGGAATGGAGGTGTCAGTGTAGCCGACGACTGTGCTGGTGAGGGCCTGGATTGGTGCCCAAGCCTAGGACCATGTACACGCGGCTAGTGTTCGGTAGGCATTTCCAAAGAGCAGCCGGCGATGCAAACCTCGGCTCCGTGCACCATTTGACAGGATAAGCGACCCACGCAGGGTCCTAGCGCTCGAGTGTTTGGACCCAAGGGGATGCACGATGATGTCTGGCCGTGGTGTTTTGTCACGGCACCGCACACGTAGCGCATTGAAATGGCGCTGCCTGCTGCGCGCCGCCCATGTCGCAAGCGGTCGCTGGCAGCTGCAGCCGGGTCAACCGCAGGCGGCAGAGCCAGCGCCGTGGCTGAGATATTGGTTTGCGCCTCGTCGTACGTCACTGACCGGGGACGACAGACATTGACATGGACTCCCTCGTGCGCGCCTTTGTTTTGCGCGGGCCCGATGTGGCATTGGCTGCTGGTGCTGGCGCTGGCCAAACGAAACGAAACAAACTGCCGTGAGCTTCCTAGACAGCACTGGGATGCTGGACGAACGGCGTGCTTGGATGGATGCAGTAGGCCCGGCCTTGTTTCGTGGTGGTGGTGGCCTGGAGATCGCACTGATCTGCGGGCGCGGAGGATCGTGGCAAAAGGATTGCGCGTGCTGTGGTGGAGGGGATGCGGTTGCGAGAATAGGCGTCTCCCCAGGCGACGATGCCTTGCTTTTTCTTTTTGCAGGCGGGCGGGCGCTATTTCCGGGCGTCGTGGTCGGGGATGGGTGTGAATGTGGATGTGGGATGCGGGAGGGTGTGGGTGTGGTTGGGGGCGAGGGGCTGCGTGACACACACCCAACCCGGCCTTGGTCGCACACGGTTGCGCCCGCAGCAGAAAAAAAGCAGTTGGCAGGCGGCGGGCGGGCGTCCAGAACACGCCGGCACGTCATCCCCAGCTCTTAGCGCCGCCGTTATTATGCATCGAGACCTCTGCGATCACCCAGACCCTGAATCGCTGGCCCCTGCACGCCCGTTGCTCTCCCACTCCCTCTCCCTCACATTGCAGTTGCCCACATGGCACATGGTCATTTTATTGCACGTCCACCCACACCCACACCCACACACCCACCCACACGGCCGCCGCCTCCCTTTAAAATCCCCCGTCGCCGCCCGGTCTGCGTCCTCCTGCCTGCTCGGCTCAACTTCGTCTGACCCTCGCTCCCGCCCATTCGCTGCCGAACCTCATCTCCGGCCCTCACGCCTGTGCCTGTCCACCCCTCCTGGTACAGTGCATCCGAACAACGCCACCCAGACTTCTAGAACCTTGTCCGCCGCCTTGCTCATTTCCCTTTACGCGAGGATCCTCTGTCCAACTGCACGTTATATTTGCAACCCACGTCAATAGCCTTCTGGCCATCCTATATAGCCCTCCCGCCTCCCGCCTCCCCACCCAACTATTCCCTTTGCATTTACATACTACCGACCCCAACCATTGAACCTCCCAATCCCCACGGCTACCGCAATGGCATCCCGCTTCGTCGAGAACCTCCAAGAGGTCCCCATCAGCCACCCCCATCTCAATGTCTCCTTGGACGACATCCTTGCAGAGGAGCGCCGCAAACGCTCCTCTTCCCAATCCTCAGCCAGTTCAGAGACGCGCCGCTCCGGAAGCACTTCTGCCGCCATGAGCCCGACTTCGCCAACTTCTACTGAAAGCAAAATCAAGCGGGCATTTACCATTGCCGGCAAAAAGAGTCGTCGCCAACACACTTGACTCTACGCAGACTAGGCTGTTTCTTTTCTAAACACCTACCCTACTCGCCTATCAATGTCCATTGGTTACGCCGCCATGACGATACTCGAGCCAGACATTCCCTCAACCAAGTGTTGGAAGAGTCTTAGTCGTACACCTGACGAGCCCTGCGCCGTGACTTTCTTTTGCTCAGCCGATAGCCGCTGTAGTACACGGACGTCATCACCACACCATCCCATTGTGGCTGCCAGCGCCACCATACACGAGCATCTCTGCTCTAACCCCCCACCGTCATCGCCCAGTCCAGAGCAATGTTTGTTCAGGCGAAAATCTGGGATGCCCATCGTCACGTGAGAAGTCGGACAAAGGTCCGAGGAGAAGGAAATCAAAGAAACAAAAAGGAGGAAACTGGAAGGAATGTAATGCATGTCGTCAGATTGTTGCGTCTGCAAAAAAAAGCCCCGAGAGGCTGACGTACTGTGTGCTAGGAGGTGCATGGCCTCAGTGTTAGAACATGTATGAAATTAAATTGTTGATACACACGCATACTTTGCCTTCTTGTTATCTCTCGTTAGTGACGTGGACTTTGCCACTGTAGGATTGAGGTGACGCGCAATTAGCAAGGATCCCTTCCATCGTCCATGACTAGGTGTAGGCCACATGGATTTGCTGTTTTATCTCGCATGCTACTATTTCAAGGTTTGTGGGTTTGAAAACCCGGTTTTTTTTATGTTGCGTGTTAAAATGTTGATATGTGTATGTACGGCGTGATTTCTAGGTCACGTGCGTTCACTCACGAGCCATCACACGACATCTTCTTGCCCTTGACATGCAAACTCGCAGCTGCACACCCTAAACATGCACCTCCCTCATAGCGAATTCCAAAATGCAAATTTCTAGACAAAAACCCCCTTCTCTTTCCACACACACACACACACATATATATATATACACTTTGCTTTACGCCTAGTCCACCTCTCCCTACCTCCCCATTCCTAGCTCCAAAATATCGCAATTCAGGTTTCAAAAAAATGGCCACAAAATTCGCAACTGCAACACCAAGAACTCAACCTACACCCCTCATCGCAACGCTAGAATCGCACCTGACACCAAGCCTACCCTTCACGTCGCCCTCTTCATCGCCAACGCAACCCTCACTCCACCAGATCCCGCCTCCGACGCTGACCAAGCTCCGCAATCTCAGTGCCGCCCGCATAAAAGACATGCGTGTGCTAGGCCACACGCGCCAAATCATCAGCCACGTGCCCGTGGCAGTGCCCGCGCCAACCTGCGCAAAGCACAACGATGCCATGCAAGCGGCAGTGGTCATGAACGCGGAGAAATTCGCCGTGCTGGCGGCGCTGCCCGCGGACGGCCGAGAAGCAGCGAGGGAGCTGCTGCGGTGCGTGACGAGGTATGGGTTTGTGGGTGGCGTGATTGCGCTGGCGAGGAGTCCGGTGTGCGGGTGGGAGGGGGAGGAGTGGGATGAGGTTTGGAGTCAGGCGGAGAAGTTACGGGTGCCGATTATGGTGAGGAAGATGTGGCCGTTGGTGTCGGAGGTACTGGACCTTTTTTCCGCCTCCTCCTTTGCTTTGAGTGGAGCTGTGGGAGGAGAAAGGCTGACGAGGGAGCAGATTCCAGAGTACCAGCATGGTCTTGCTTCGAGTCTTGTTGCGCCGCTGGTTACTCATCTGCATACCGCGCATGCTGCGTCGCCTCTTCCGCTGGTCCAGCTGTATCTCAGCGGAGTCTTTGACCGGCATCCGAATCTTCGGCTTATCTTTGCGCATCCGGGTTCCTTGCCTTCACTGGTTCCTCGCATACAACATCTCCTGACCAGTATCCCTGCGAGTGAAAGACCCAGGCGTGGGTTCCTCGAGGTGTGGCAGCACAATATTTACCTGACGACGGCCGATGCACAAGACTTGTCGAGTTTGAGAGCGCTGCTCGAGCAGATACCTGTGGACCGCGTGCTGTACGCAACTAACTACCCGTTTGAGGAGAGGGGAAAGGAGTTGATAGAAGAACTTAAAGCAAGTGGATTCTTGACAAAGACAGAGTATGAGAGGGTTGCTTGGGTCAACGCCGAGACACTGTTCAATTTGAAAGGGGTTGGGAAGAGCGGAAGATGAGACGGGACTTCATCTGCTGACTTGGAGAAGACGTAAGAACTTGAAGATACCTATCCATTAGTTCCTGATTGTCGGTCATTGTGGATGTTTCAACAGTAACTCAACATTGGCGGTGCAATACAGCCACGCAGCTAACGCAGAAACAGCGTCTCTCAGGTCACGAAGGATGAGCGGTGGGTATATTCATGCATTCAAGACCGTGTATATATGAACGCCCTCCCGATCATGACTCCTGGCTCGTGGTATCTTTCATGTCAAATCGTTCGTGGCTCGTTGTGCTCGTCAGGCTGAGTCACGCGCTTATTTCTTGCCAGACTTCTTGATGCCCTGGGAGCCCGTGTTGAGGGGTCCCTTGCCCTTGCCGACCGTCTTGGCGAGTTCCTCACGCGCCTTCTTGTCTGTGCATCGTCAGTGTGTCAGTCCGTAGTGTGCCTCGTGTTTCGGTGGCGCCTAGGGCATGGCGCTCGGTAGCGACATTGATACGGAGAGGTACGCACCAGCGGCGAGCTTGTTCTTGTGTGCAATGTCGTCCTCGTCCAGCTCGGCAGCCTTCTTCTTGGGCTTCTTGTTGTGGATGGGGTTGGTACCCGCTGGTTTCTCCCGTCAGTCTTCCAGTCCCGTAATTCACTCACTCCATGGCCCCGCATCGCTTTTGTACAGAGACGTGGGCGCTTACCTCCTTGTCCTGAAGGCATCTTTCCGAGGTATATGGACTGTGTTCTTGTTTGGTGGTTTGGCGGTAAACTCGCGTGGCAGATATTCGCTCGCGGCGTGGAAAACGGTGGTCGGTTGCGGGCGGTGAGAAGGGTCTCGGTCTCGACGCCTAGGAAAAGTGGGATGGATGGATGGGCGCACCGCCACCACCGCTTTGTGGCTCAAGCGCACGTGATCCCATCAGCTGATCGTCTTGGCGTCCATGGTCTGGTCTGGTTCCAGTCGGGCTTCCCGCGAGGCTGCAGTCTATCCAAATATATCTGCAATGGACCGCTAGCAGCAATGCGCGCGTGAGCCCTCTGGCTTCCGCCAAAATCGGTACACCGCATATCGGCTGCTGCTGGCTTCAGCACTGGCTCCCTGGTTCAACCCAAAGGATGCAGGATGCGATATCCAGGTCAGCGCACACGAACCAATACGACGACCCACAAGGGCTCCACAGGCGGCTATCGGGGCATGTACTCTACACCTAGCATGAACCGGGAGCTGGCTGTAATCCAACCTCGCTTCCACGCCCAGAAAAAACAAATGGCGACTTTGCGACAGCTGAGACGGCGACGCCTAAACGACGCCACACTCGGCCAACATCAAGCATTCCTCTAACAGCCTCCAAGCCCAGAGACGCAGAAACAAGACGGCGCAGACGGCAGCCAAAAGCTTTCACCTGCCGCATCCTCCTTGTGTCGAGGCTTGGCTGGCTTGTGGTTCAAAGGACTACTACCCAATTGCGATGCTGCCCCCGGCAATCTTGACCATTCAGAGCCTAGACGAAGCACTGGTCGCTATCTCGGCTCTATGCCCCGTCGCTATTCACCGAAACAACCGCGCCCCAACACTTAGTCACACCGCGCCCATTCGTGGGAAAATCCAGCAGGCCATGCCCAGCCCCATCATCAAGTGGACCAAATCTCTCTGGCCATCAAGTGTGTAGGTACCGTCAGGCCCCAGATACTACCCCAGATTCACTAATCCAAGCACGGGTTTGGGAATTTGGAGGCGCTCGACGTTAGGCCACTAGAGCAAGCTCTTGAGGCTTTCTGGCCAAGGTGATTCGTGGGTGATATTGTTTGCCTGGAGGCGAAGGCTGCGATTCCCACGACGTGGTATGAGCGTCCCGAGCCCATGGGGTTTAATGGGGCTCCTGTCATGTTGCATGGCAGGCGTTCCGCGGTGGGCATGCATATCAGCATGTATATATGGCCACGTCCCCAGTCTCTGCTGTTTGCTCTCCAGTCCAGAACTCTCTCTCTAAGGACCACCCGCAGTTTGTTTCGCGGTGTTTGAGCCAGACACCCTCGTTGATCGCGTGTCAAGTCGATCGTTTTGTTGTCACTTTGTTTGAGAGGATATCCACGACCAGATACCGTCAAGATGGTGTCCTCGACAAGAGTGTACAATTGGTACATTTCGCTCGTTGCAGCATCATGCATGGTGCTCTACGGCTATGATGCGTCTGTTTTCAACGCCCTTCAGAACTCCAAGCATTGGGTTGCCTACTTCAATAACCCAGGCCCCAACATCATTGGAGCCATCAACACTTCCTACACTGTTGGTGCTGTGGCAGCTGGGTTCTTCATGGTAAGATATCCTCAGTGAAGAGCTGTACCGGCAATCTATACTGACCTCGTCCCATAGGGTGGTCCTCTAGCTGATTTCGCCGGTCGACGAATGGGTATGGCTGCTGGAGCCCTGTGTGTCATCGTAGCGACGTTGATGCAAACATTTGCTCCCCGTGGCCAAATTGGTGTCTTCATCGCTGGCCGTGTCCTCATCGGTATTGGCCAAGGTCTCGCGCTCACGGCTGGATCCATCTACATTGGCGAGCTCTGTCCATCAGAAATCAGAGGCAAAATCATGTCTTTCTGGCAAATGTTCTACTCGGTCGGCTCTTTCATTGCCTACTGGATCAGCTTCGGCACCTCCAAGAACCCAAAGAAACTCGGTGAATGGGACTGGAAGATTGTCGTCATCTTCCAGATGCTTGTCCCCATCATCATCTTGTCACAGGTCTTCTTCATCCCAGAGTCCCCACGCTGGTACGTGCAGAAGAACCGCAACTACGAACAGGCGCGCCAATCGCTTCGTCGTGTGCGTGACTCGGAGGAGGCTGTCGAGGAGGAAATCACCACCATCCGCGAAGCCATTGAATTCGAAGCCGAGGCCATCTCATCTGGATACTCTGTCCTGTGGAAGGACAAGTCCATCAGGAAGCGCATGTACATTGCCATGATTGTTAACGGCGGTCAGCAAATCACTGGACAGGGAACCCTCAACACGTACAGCTCCATCATCTACAAAAAGGTCTTTACCAGTGCAGACACAATCTCGCTCATCAACGCCCTCAACGCCACATTCAGCATCCTCTTCACGCTCAACGCAACCTGGACCGTCGACCGCTTCGGCCGCAAATTCCTCTTCATCGTCGGCGGCATCGGCATGGGTCTCTGCATGCTCATCGCCGCCACCGTTGAGACGCAAACACCCACATTACCCAACGGAGCAAAGTCGCAATCCGTAGGCATCTCCATTCTCTTTCTCATGTTCCTCTTTGCCTTTTTCTGTAAGCTACCCTTGCAATGCTTCCCCCAAAGGAAACCAGCCCACTAACTCAATTTCGCCAGACAAACCCTCATGGGGCGCCACAGTGTGGATCTTCACAGCCGAAATCTTCTCCATGAACGTGCGCGCACAAGCCGTCGGCATGTGCTCGCAGACGCAAAACGTCGTCAACTCAATCGTCCAGCAGTTCTTCCCCATCTTCCTCAAGAACGAGGGCTTCTACGCCTTCTACATGTTCGCCGCCATCAACGTGCTGCTCGCCATCTTCACATGGTTCTTTGTGCCCGAGACCAAGCAGGTCAGCCTCGAGGAAATGGACGCCGTGTTCGGCGGCAAGAACCACGTTGTCGAGGGTGCGGCTATCGAGAGCAAGGATCCTGCCAGGCAGGAGAGCGTTGTCGTTGTTGGAGAGAAGGGTGGCGCTGCCATGGAGAGGGTCGAGAGGGTTTAATTCGTTGGGCATCGATGTTTTTCTCTAATACGCTGCTGGTTTGGCCGTGTGTAACAGCTCAGCAAATGACGATGCTTGTTTTGGTAACGGGAACCTATTTTTCTCAAATCAAGAAGACGGAAATGAGAAATGTCCCAGGCCTGATTCTCTACCTTCTGTCCATCCAAACCATGGTTTCCCCGCGCTGAAATCCCTTCCGAAGCCCCCCTTTTTCAGCCATTCGTGTGTGTATGTATGGGCGTAGGATTTTGAACCATATGGTCCATCCAGTGTTTTCTTGCGACTTTTTTTTTAGGTTCTCGCATGGGTATCATCTCAAGATGGATGCTTTCTCGGTGCTTCTGTTTCTGCATCTCACGCAGTACAACTATACCCAGACGACACAGTCCGCTACGTATAATTAATTTTCTACATATCCAAAATGTCAAACACACCTCCAGTCGCACCAGAGTACATATCCTCGCCTCCAGCCAACCCACCGTCTCTGCTATCGCAAAGCCTCGCGCCCCAATCCACATCACCGAATCGCGAAGTACAATCTACACCGAACCGTGAACTCCCATGTACACCGCCAGGCCGAGAAATACCATGTACATCGCCGCCCGGCGCACCGACAGCGCCCGTACGCCAACGCGTGGAAATGATATTCCCGTTTCCAAATCAAGACGCGCCTCCAACGGTCGAGCAGCCCCCCTCACATGCATCGTCAGATCCAATCCGGATGCCGCGCCGCCTGCGGTCGTCGACGACGCCGCGAGTTCCGCCTCTGCACTACCAGCCCCTCCGGTCTTATCTGCCGGCGTCGTGGCGGCCGCTGCCTGCTCGCGTCCATCATCGAGACGACACGGTGGTGCATTACTGTGCGCTGGGGAGTAATGGGTGGGAGGCTATGCAGCAGGAGCGGGTGCGGAGGAGCCAGGAGGATATCGGAAAGATTGATGTGGCGTGGGCGGCGAGTGGGGGTGGGGTGATTTTGAATTTCAAGAGGGATAGAAAGGGGAAGGGGAGGGAGGGCCAGGGCCAGGGGGCTGAGACGGTAAGTGTGGAAGATGAGGGAGAGGGTGAGCAGGGAAGTGAGGGTGATGGTGGGTTGGAGGAAGAAAGGGGGGAGGAGGCGGATGATGAGCGGGAAGATTGATACAAGTATGGGGTTGTGATGGGGGAGTAGGAACGAGGCTTGAAGGACCCAGGGGATGCAGTGTTCATTACAGGTGAATTCAATGGAGCATGGTAAGTTTGACAATTTACCTGCGAGGTGCGTCGTAGACAGATTTCTTGTTAGGGCTGCCGTTGATCTAGAATGTATCAGCATATTGCATATTTGACAGGTCAGTAGAACACGTACAAATTCCTGACTCCCGTCATGGTCAATAATCAAATGGCCGCGGTAACGCCAGTCCTCTCCATCTTCTGCTGAGTAAGCTGCATATGCCGGGTTGGACTTGTTAACCTGATCTAAAGCAAAGATGGAAATCATTGGTGTATTCGCGATGACTTGGTCCACAACGTCTGCTCAGGCACCGGCACACAGGCTGCAGATGGTGAAACTGAGGGCTATAAGCGTTTCACTTTGACGAGCTATCAGATCGATGATATCCTGCTTTCACGCGTATATATGCCTTGGAGGCTTAGCGAGCGAAGCTTCGGCCATTTTGCTCCAAGTCCAAGGTGACGAAGGATAGGCTCTCCCCCAGGGAAAATGCTTCCATACATGTTGTGTGCAGAATGCGCCCAGCGAGGTACTGTAAAAGACAGATGGTACAGATGCTGAGCAGTTTCCAGGAGTGTGGCCAAGTTTCCAAATTGTGTCTGAGGAGGTTCTGCAGCCAAGACGATGGACCGTGAATAGCATAGCGTCTTCTTGTGACCAACGTTGGAAACACATACTCATGTTCAGCTCTAACCTAGTTGGATGACGAAATAATAAGATGTTTGCCGGCATGAACATTGTCCGGAATGGGAAACGAAAATATTATGGGAAAGGCAAATTCGGCGATCCACTTGTCGTAGTGGGGCGCTTCAATGATCATTTCACGCATCCTAGTTTCCTGACTCGAGAATAGCACCGACGAGTTGACGGCAAGGTTGCTCTGGACCGGTCAGCCTGGAGGGTGCCCTGTCGGCATCAGCCCATGCTGATCCGTTGTCTCGACGGGGAGAGTTGGTCGGCGTGGTAAGTGCACGAATGACAAGATGTTAGGCATATATCTCAGGCCTCGTGTAAGCGATTGCATAAGCAGTCCGTTAGATATTAGGGTAGTAAATTGGGTCTCCCCATCTAGGACGTACATGGATTGCCCAGGTTTCGAGTTCACTAACCTAGAGACATGAATTGAGAAAACGGCTCGGCGCTTCTTCCAGAGAGAAAAGAAATCGTTCAGAAGTATTGATTTGTCTGCGGTAGGCTTACAGATAATCACGTGTTTGGTGCGGCTTAGAAGTTTTTTTTTTCCTTTTCCCAAAGTAAGCATTCTTTACTCTAATACGCTGACATGATAGATGGCAAAAGCTGACATGGTTGGGCCCTGCAAGTATCTCTGTAGATAGTTTGGAAATCAATCATAGATAGTTAGAAAAAGTTTATCCTGATGCTCATGTATATACGAACTTTGTATCCAAAGATAACCTACTGCGTGTCTACATGTTTTTCGGTAGTGTGCTTTATAGAAAGAAGACAGGATTGTAAGTGCCTTCCTATCTTCTGGCTATAACTTAATAACTAAAATAGTAGGCTTGTAGATCCACCTACATACAAGTGTAGAGAGATGTACGAGTCCAAGGGCGTGATGTGCATAAATCACTATGCTCATCTTAACCCGGATTAGCTAAAGGTGTTCTACCTGTCCTGTACGCTGTTTTTTTTGCGTACCACACTCTATTCACAATATATATGACATAGCCCACTCTAACGCGGAATATCTAAAGCTTGTCTAAAAGAGCCGATCTGTTTTTGATCTAATTTGCAAACCATACTCGTCAAGATCTACGCTCCTGTTCACAATAAGACTACATCTCTGTTCCTAAACAATATATTTCCTTTGCGTCACATATATCCACAACACTTACCTAGAGCCCATAGCCCCCCCCCCCCCAAAAAAAAAGCACACCTGAACGCTGAATTGCAGTCTTCCGTACAAAAAACTCATCCAACGAAGAAGCAACCGTGCAACAGGCGAGTTAGTCAGTCTTACTACCAAAAGGTACCGCCACTATCGCTACATAAAGCAACAATATAGGAACTCTGTCACTACATCGGTCCTTCTGCATCTTATAAATCAATTCAAAAAAATCTTCTTTTTTTCCAATCCGTTCCGCTCTACCGCTAACGTCAGTTTAGAGATGATTTTTTCTTCCTCTTTTCTTCCCATAACTCGTACGGTAACCATCAGTACAGTTTCGTAAGTACAGGCTTCCTTCTGGAATCCCAGGTAATTAGAAGCTGATATCCAAAGTCACGCACAGACTGGTTTTTGCCCAGTTTTTTTTTTAAAAGGTAGTTTGGCACTGTCACCTCTCAAGTCTAGATGGCGATTGGAGGCTCGGTTAGCATACAGGAATATCTCTATGTCAGTCCCTCGGTGACGGATGTAAACCGGCGCTTACTCTGTTCACTATCTAGCTAGGATACCTAGCATTCACAGGCCGATTAGAAGGCGGAAACTAGAGTTTTCTTTTGCGCACAGATTATAGGTACCTAAGCATAGGCGCGCCTCGAATCCATCTTCTTCCTATAAATCGCTACCAGTTCTCTGTTTGCTACACGTTCATCAGACATCATCCATACTTACCATTACTCAAGATCTACAATTCAAACTACATACATGATGCAGACATTCATTAGCATCGCGTTATTGTGGCTTGGCGCTACTCTGGTGGCTGGCAGGCCTCAGCATACTCGCTTTGGCCCTATTGACCATGACTGCTCACACGCTTTCCGTAAGTTTATTTTTACTGTTCCATCATTACCAAACTTTTCGCCTTTTGCTGAAACATAGAGCAGAGGATTGCGGTCATAGAGACTGCTGTCTTGGATTGGAGTACATAAGGCACCTAACTCCTGATGGCGATGTTTCCTATATTTGTAGCTAAGCTTCACTATATTTTGGTGGAGGAACTAGATGATAGGACGAAGGGTGGTTCGCGAGTAACCAGACAGGTGTGAGGGACCTCTCCTATTAGCGCATCTTCCGTCACCTCTCTTGTTTAGTTAGCATTGCTTATAGCCATAAGCCCTGTAATCGCGAAGCAAACTTACCAGCGATTCATCTTATAGACAATTTGACTATTTATCCATCTATAACCCTCTACTGCTGTGTATAAGGTACAGGGTCTCACCGCTAACTTATACTGTGTACTCGACTACATTGTAGAAGCCGCTGCATCAACACGTCGAAATCATTCATGGGATAAATGCAGTTAGATTAAGAAGGAGTTATCTCAATCGCTTTCTCCAACTGTTTGTAACAGAGACCATGAGATGCAATTATTGGGTTGTAAAGTGTCCCGTCAAAGACAAGTTCTTTTACACAGTTGGAATAGACCGGATGTATTGCTATACTCTGATAAGTAGCGAGAGCTTCATGTCTTACACATATAACTATTGTGGTGCAAAAAGGCTAACATTCTGCACCATGCAGAAAGTAGAGTAGATATATCCCGACAACTATGCTTCTAAACAGAGCCGGGGCAGCGTCAACTCGGAAACATCTGCTGACAAGCCTAGCCGGCTTGGTGTCGAGAGTGCCAAGGAGGCCGAAGATGTTGATTTAGAGTTCGGCCGGCAGCCGAGCGAAGAAATGACACATGTTAGGACCAGTTGTAAGTAAAACCGAAGCAGTACAGGTTGAAAGGTAGTTTGGCTCGGGTAGGTTTCGTTGTCTGCTGCTTCGATAGTATTTGGCATGGTTGGTTGGGCGGCACTGTCTGGGTTCAAGAGGACCTGCGACGGATGAAAGGGTGCACGTGATTGTGTTGAGGCAATTGGGATAGTGAGGTGAGTGTGGGGGAGCTGGGCTAGACCGCACGCCTGAACACTGACAGCTCACCAATGAGCAGAGGCGGACAACCGTGGGCCAGAGCACCCCCTACGCGCCCTAAGACAATAGGACAGCCGCATATCAAGTTAGGCTGCGCTAGTTGGAAACTCGAGTGGTGTTTGAATAAAATGGGGCGTGTTTCGTCAAATGCTATATGATCTATTGTTTCCTCAGTTCATTGAGTGCTGCCATGACACCTTCACTGATTTGTTCATCTGGTTGTTTCCTCTTGGCGGGCTTTGCGAGTGGTGACTGGGCCGAATTAGCCTCCAAGTCACCACTCATCTCGGCTTCGCGCATTGCCTGCTCGTCGTCTTCGTTGAGGTATTCAGCAGGACGATGCTCAGGTCGCTTATCCGCGTCTGAGCCAGAGGGTGCGAAAGGAGCAGATCTCTCCAGCTCCTTCGCAAGAGGTATGGCGTCGTCTACCCGTTGGTGTGCTGTGTCACCAGCATGTGTTGCGGTAGGCGCCTGGTCTTCACCTTCTGCCACGGGCATGTTGCGGGACTCTTCTACAAGGCCGCGCCTTGCCGCCTTCTGCACTCGAAACGGCTCGCGCACAGCATTACACCATCGCTGCACCTTCTTGTCACCCCAGCCAGCAATCAGCCCGATTTCCTCCGGGGAGGCGTTGATTGCCGTGCGGATGCTCCCAAAGTTGGAGACCAAGCCGACAGCGTCGGTCTTGTTGATGCTGCGCGGCACAGTGATGAAGTCGACCATGCTCTCGGAATAGGTGCCGGCTTGCTGGGCGCGGATGCTCGTCGGGGCGGCATTCTCAAACGTCTTGAAGAGCTCCAGATAGCGGCCGGCCTCTTGGGCGCTCCAGCACAGCATGACGGTGACGTTGTTGACGAGGGACGTCTTGGACAGCTCTCTCAGGGGGTCTTCGTGGTTCTCGATGTCGACCATGGTGAGCAGGATGCGGAGCGTGTACTGGCCCTTGAGGTCGCGGATGCGGTTGTAGATGTACTCGGGATGCAGGCGATGGTACTTGAGCGAGAGAAACAGGGCGCACGTGGTGGCGCCGACGACATAGTCGGCGGGGATGTCCGAGTACTCCCAGGCGACGGCGCGCACGCTGCTGAGGATGGGGTTGCCCTTCTGCCTGGGCGAGACCAGGATGGAGCTGGGGCCAGAGCGCGAGGGCAGGGCCTGGGGCTTTGGCTGGGCGACCTTGGGGGGGCTGGCGGGCGGGCGAGGCGGGCGCGGGGGGGCGTTGTCCATGGCGGCGGGCGGCGGGCGGCAGCAGCAGCAGTTAGCATTCGTGCTGCGTGGCCATGGTGGGTGGCGCGGCGAGGATGGCGTCGGGGATGTCGTCGGGGATGTCGTCGAGTGACACAGCCTAGCAGCAAACGCGGTTTGAGGTGACGGAACCATGAAGCGACCAGGCCCCGGGCGCGCGTCACGTGACGCCCAGCGCAGCGCTCAGCCCAAACCGCCGGTGCGCCCCATTGCCTGTCCATTGCCTGCCCATCGTCTCCTTCGCATCTTCGCATCTCCCGCCGACCACCCACCGCACCCTCCCGCACCCTCCGCCCACCGCGCCGCCAACACCACGCCATCGCCATCGCCATCGCCATCGCCATCGCCATCGCCCGCATCCAGCTGCCGCCTGCCGCTCTCTCGCGCGCTCCACCGCCCCGAGCCCGCCCGCCCGCGAATGCGCCCTGCTGAGTAGAGCGCTCTCCCTTGCTGCCGCGGTCGACCCGCGCAGACGCCGCCAAGCGCTTCACGGCCAGCCCGCCGCCCCCCAGCCCGCTCCCCCAGGCCCGCCGTGCCCCTACGCCCTCTGCACGCACTCGCCCGTTGCGAAGCGGCCTCTATGTCGGATCACAGCGCAAAACGCCAACGCCTGGACTCGATAGGAAGATTCTCACCCGCCAGCCCGCCCTTTGACGTCGCTGCCAAGGCGAGCGGCCAGACGACAAAGACGCCCATCCACCCGCGCACGCCCACGTCGCCACCCTACTCCTCGATGAATTCGCAATCCAATGGAGGTTATGCCACGACACACACGACGACGTCGTCGGACCGCTCCCCGCACTCGTCGCTGCCCATGTCCCACTCGCTCTCCCAGTCGGCCGCATCGGCATCCAGCCAGCACCCTTTCTCCACTCCGGCCAGCACCGCCGGCTTCCTGTCCAGCGCCACCATCGACAGCGACGGCGATGCGACGATGGAGGAGAGCGTCGACGATGATGTTGCTGCGTCACGCAACCACAGGCTGTCCAACCACAACCGGCAACCAGAGTCGCCCTACACGCCCGACGGCCGCCTCAAGGCCGCCCAGGGCATCAGCGGGCCCCAATTGTTCAAACTCGGCACGGAAAAAATCCAAAAGTCGCGGCCGCACGCCTCGCAAAATCTCATCAGACTCTACAGGCTCGAGCCGCTCGCCAGCTCCGTAGCCCGGAATGACCCGGTAACAGGCGAGAAGATTAACAAGCTTCGCAAGTCCTACGAGGGCCACATCAAGCAGATGCAAATTGCCGGCAAACCAAAGGCAACCAAAATGGACGGCGTCTTCCGTGACCTTTTAATGCTACCAGAAGAGATATGGCAGCCCAACCACGTCCAAAACAGAGAACCCGACAAGACTGCATTGACACCAGACGGCACAGGACTTGCTCCTGAATTCAGCCAGCTCCTCGACGGGGCATTTGCAGGCATGGGCCCTGGATCTCTCCCCAATGCAGACGCCGCCAAATACAAGGCATATCTGGGCACCGACGACGCAATCAAGCCCAAAGCACAGGACGCTCCGCCGCAACGGACAACACCCTACACATCATCCGCACCAACACCCAACAACCACATTAATAGGGGCCTCGTAAGACCCGAGAGATCGGGATCGAAGCGTGGCTATACCGACGCTGCGTTCCAAGGCTACGGTGAAGGCTTCGGAGACGACTATGCAGATTCCACCGGAGGCGAAGACACACCAGGAGGGACCATGGCAAACAAGAGGCGGAAGCTGCAATTTGAACGAACATCACATTCAGTAGAAGTAGGCGGCGCACGGCGATAGCAGCGTCTGCATTTTCTTTCGCACACACGACCTTAGCAGCATCAGGATTTCCGGCTCTCTCTCTCTACAATTGGCGTTTACAGGAAAATTTCGGTTTCATGAAAGCAACGGCGCGGCGGTACTGAAGCTTCAAGAGAAGGCGGAGAAGAACGTCACCAGTCACATCATCACCATCATCATCACACCACCACCACCACCACCACAACAGCAATTACACCACCACCAACAACAACAACTACTACTACTACTACAACAACAATAACAACAACCACACATCATTTTCTATTGGCATAATGCGCAGCGGAAAGCGATCGATCGAACGAGGCGAAGCAAACGGTATGACGATCATGATATTCCTACTTTATACTTCCATGGGAAGGGGGAAACCAGATTGGGGCGCTACGATGTTTGTTTGTGTCGTGTTTGGTTCTTCCTTTTTTTGAACTTGCTTGTTTTTTCTTCTCCTCCACTTGTGTGTCCGCGCGCGTATACGTATGGGAAAGCTCGATTTGTTTTGGTTTGATCCAGTCAGTCGGTCGGTCGGGGGTGGAAAAGGGAACAGTCTGTGTGCGCGTGTGTACTTTTCTCCCTTTTTCCCCCACCACCACCACAACCTCCTCCTCCCCTCCCCTTTTTTTTCTTGGACTCCAAAAACCTCAACCTAACACAACAACAACAACACAACAACAACACAACAACAACACAACACAACACAACCCTAACCATAACCTCCTTCGAGATGTGCATATTTTGGGAGGCGGATTAAAAAAGACCCACCGAACCCTTCCTCATGATACCCTTGGGAATAACCCACACGCCGCAATTCTTGTGGACTCCTGTTATAAAACGAATCAAATCGTCAAAATTAGACCTTTTTTACGTGTTTCTCTCTCTTTCCCTCTCTCTCTCATTCTCATTCTGTGTCTCTGTGTATGTTTTCTCTTTGTCAAGCTGTACAAGACAAAGAGACAAAGAAAAAAAAACTCATTACAAAGCAAGACTATGCACATCTGAGAATCAAGCAAAACATTGTCTGAATCCACTCATCATACCCCCCCCCCTCACCCTCTCTCTCCTTCTCGAAGGATTCCTGGGTCCATTTTTCTTTCTTTCTTTCCTTGATCCAATTGTCTCTTCCTTCGTTCTTTGTCTGGCAAAGGTGGGGAAGGGGGAGAAACAAAAAAAAAGGGGGGATCAATAGCCGGAGGTGGGTGGGATAAATCAAAGGACCAAGAAAGAAAAAGGAATCATGGATATGTTTCATGTAGGGAGAGAGAAATGTGGCTAGTGAATGTAGGAGATAGCATGTAGGATGATACGAAAAAAAAACGAAGGAAGAGTTTGAGGAGAGAAAAAAAGAAAAAGAGAAGGGAGATGATGTGTGGGAGCTACGAATTCGTAAGATGGGAAATTGCGGGAAAAGAAAAAGGATGTATATGAAATGTCGACGCAAATTTAATGTGCGCGCGTGTGTGTGTGATACAGTATTTATACATATCGATTTCACAGTGGTTTGATATTTGGATATACAATTCCCCATTCTCCCATAAAAGGTAAAGTGTTTATTCCTTCTTCTCTTCCTGGGGACCCTTTTCCTTCTCCTCCATGTCGAGTCGGCGTGCCTCGACAGTAAAGTACAAGCTCTTGCTTGCGCCCTCCAAAGCGGAGGTAAGGCTTCCACCAATGCCCTGGAGCATGTGAACGAGTTGCGCCCTGAGACCGTCGATGCCCCCACCAATACCACCAACCCATTTGGCGCCCTCGACATCAAACACCTTGCCCTCTACCCTCGCGCCCAGTAGCATGAGCTTCTGGAGACCGGCCTGCACAGCAGGCTCGTAGTAGTCTGGGTTAGCTCTCCGGCTTGGAGCGGGGAAATCTGGTTTCGAAGGCGAGAGAATCGACAGAACTACCTTGAGATATTCGGGGGCGACTGCGGGGAAAGCGACGACGGCCAGGGGCCCTGATAGAAGGGGTTCCAATTCCAGTTTGAGCTTTCTGTTGTTGGCAATCTCATAGGCTCGTCTCGACAGCCCGTGCGTAAAGCGCTCGTCGGCAACATGGCTGCTCGTCTGCGGTATCTGCGCGCTCGTCGCCGTCTGCGGATCCGTGGGATGCTGTGCGTGGTCCAGCGTCGAGTCTTCGGGGTGGAAGAACTCGGCGACTCGCAATGCGCTGGCGAAAATGTTGGTCTGGATAACTTGCATCTTGATCTCGTCGGCGAGCGGTTCCTTGCCGCTGCCCGCCCGCTGGGCATCCAGTTTCTTGAGCGCTATGGCGAGCTCCCGCCGTATGCTCATCCATTCCACAGCCTTGACATTGTTGTGCTGGAAGATCAGAATCAGAGGCGACGACTTGAGCAGCGATTGGTACTGTCGGTGTAATTGCGTCTTGCGGACCTCCGGCGGCTTGTGAGAGGGCGGTTGCGTGGGCGGGTATCGTAGCACGGGGGCTACGGCTTTGTGTGTCTGCTGGATGGGGGGTGCGGGGGTGGTTGCTGAGGCGGTTGCAGCCGAGGCGTAGGTTGCGATTGCTGGGAGAGAGAGGGTAGCATGCCTGGGGTGTGAAGTGCAGGCGCCGAGGGCACGTGGCCGTATGCGTATCCGTGGAGGCATTCTGCGGGTGTCAAAAAATGCACGAGAGTAGGGAACTCGGTCACAGAGCGCTAGCACTTACCTGAGCTGTCGTTGTGTCGCAATTGAAGAGGCCGAAGTTGCATCTCCAAATATTTCCATGCGCTCCAGGTTCGGAGATGGTCCGTGCGAGAACACTCGACGGCGGCGATTCTCACCAGTCGCAAGCCCTCTTGAGGCGAATCACCCTTTCCTATATCTTTTGTCTCCAAGCCACACCGAAGGACTTCGATTTTCACGATCAATCTGGTCGGGTCATTTCACAGCCGTGCGGGCATGGCGACTCATATGTGGAAAGCTGCACGGCAACCGCAAACGGCGAGAACATTAATTCAAGGTTTCCGAAACACTAGGTGCATATCTGTAAGGCATCATCGTTAGTGTTGCTCATTAAAAGGTCCAAATTAACAGTTGCTTTAGACCGACTCAAGAAACCGCCTGTCCAGGTTCTGGGCACCAACGGGCGGAATATCACCATTGGACGGAGAGCAAGGTAAACCAACCTCATCCTATCTTCATACATGCACTAACAACCTGAGAAGATGAGTCACACTCTTTGCTCATACGCAGTGGTTTTCTACGCCAGGTAATCTCTGCCTCGTTCAATTTCAGAACCTGCAACTCATCACGTGCAGGCCCATTCAGGCGTCTTTCACCTTCTACCACTAGGTCTACGCGTGCAAAACAAACTCGAGGCGCTTATAGACAAGCACATGGGCTCTATAGGTGCTTCTAAACTCTCACTCTCCACCATTACCACTGAAGAGTTATGGAAACAATCCGGCCGGTACTCTGCAAACTCTGAACTCCTGCGCATCAAGGATAGGAGAGAATCTGGATTTTTACTCTCACCCACTCACGAAGAAGAGATCACAGCCCTTGTTGCCAGCATGGTGTATTCGTACAAGGAGCTGCCATTGAGATTATACCAGATAGGCCGCAAGTACCGCGATGAACGACGGCCCAGGCAGGGATTGTTACGGGCAAAGGAATTCATGATGAAAGATTTATATACCTTTGATCACTCACCAGAAGCTGCTCTGAAGACTTATGAATCAGTCCGAGAGGCGTACAACAACCTCTTCAACGAACTCAAGCTTCCCTACCTTGTCGCGGATGCCGACTCTGGCAACATGGGTGGCAAGCTAAGCCATGAGTATCACTTTGTGTCACCAAAAGGCGAGGACAATGTATGGTCATGTAACTCGTGTGCTTATATCGCAAACGAGGAGCTCGTGGAAAAGAAGGTCGAGACAGCACCAGACACCAGCGACGCGGTAGTCGTCACAGGCATAAGCATAGACAAAAAGACGGCAATCAACATCCACATACCGCGACCGACTGAGCTAGGGACAAGCGATGCAGTATCATGGGACAAGGTATCTGAATTCGTCAATCTGCACGCCGTCAAGAAGGCATTGCCTGCAGACCTCGACATGGACACAGGCATCGCAGCCTCAACCCTCTCGACTCTCCTTCCAATGGCTACCAGTACCATCGACCTTTATGATCAATCTCTGTCCAGTAACGCTTCCTCTACAAACATGGATCTCACAATCACCAAGCCCGGCGACTCGTGCCCCAACTGCGCATCAGGCAAACTACACGTCCAAAAAGCCATTGAAGTAGGCCACACCTTCCATCTCGGCACCCGCTACAGCGAGCCTCTAAAAGCCGTCGTCGCTCTACCAGACCAAACCCATCCCTCACCCATACAAATGGGCTGCCACGGCATCGGCGTCTCGCGCATCATCGGCGCCGTAGCATCGCTCCTATCAGACGCACAAGGTCTCAACTGGCCGAGAGCCATTGCACCATACGAAGTCGTGGTACTTGGTTCATCAAGAATCGAAGAAAAGGAAATCACAGAAGTCTACGACATACTGCATGGTGAGGCCAGAAACGAGCCCATGGATGTAGTGCTTGACGACCGCACGGGAAGGAACCTAGGCTGGAAACAAAGAGACGCACATCTTATCGGGTACCCTGTCGTTGTTGTACTAGGGAGAGGCTGGCAGGAAAAGAAGGAAGTAGAGGTGCAGTGTCGGAGGCTTGGAATCAAGAAGGACATTGGCCTGCATCAACTGCGAAGCGAAGTCCAGGCCTTGCTCCACCAATTGTAAAAGTATCTAGCAAGGTAGATGCAGCATGTAAGATTAGAGTGATTACGTATGCCGAAATCTCCTTTTTCCCCCTCCCTTTTTCGTTTTTTTTCCTCTATCTCGGCACAACGATAAGATATATAACCCTGATACGCGCCGCGCGCGGGGAGAGGAAGAGGGGAAGGGATCGACGAAATTGGACGATCCTAGCCACACACACATGCACACACACACACATACCCTGACACTTGACCCCAGCATGAACTCGATCGACCCGTTGGTTCTAGCGTTCTGATCGACAATCATCCCCGACGGGTAATAATCCACCGCATTCCCCGTTGTCAATCAAGTTTGTGAAACAAGGCGCTAATGACATCAAACAGCCCTGCCAGGGACCATACTTGCAGCTTGGTTATACTCGAACGCGATTTTTTTTCAAACGCTGGGATCAAACGGGTTGCGTGTCGCTTTTCTCTCTGGTATTCTTATCTTTGCCTGAGCGTGGTGCTGCGTGTACATAGTTACTGCTAAAGCCATGGCTGAGCAACAATCACGTGGAAGTGTACCGGTTCTGCAGGCCGTGGGAATCATTGCGCCGACATTATATACGGGTAAGACATATCACAAAAAAAGAGAGAGATATGAAAACCCTCACATTCCGTTGGTACAAAGTAGCACATTCTTCCATCCGCTAAACATCAACCCAGGCTTCACATTCGCCTACCCCCACGTTCTCATCCCGCCACTCACCACGCATGCGCCGCCCAAGCTGCTCGCAAGGCAATGGCTGCAGGCGTATCGCTTTGCACCTACATTCGTGGCTCCGCTCGTCATGCTAGGCACTGCGAGTAACGCCTTACTTGCGTATTTGTTCTTCTCTTCCTCGTCCTTTTCTGCAGCTGCAAAACTGTATGGTCTCGCTGCCCTCGCAACAGCATCCATTGCGCCGTACACAGCGCTGTACATGGAGCCGGGGGTCAATGGCGCGGGAAAATGGAAGGCGCGCGAGTTGCTGGGCGGGGACGAAGTAGTGTTCAAGGGCATGGGACGCGGCACTGAGAGGGACTCTGCGACGGGGGCGGCGAAGAGCTGGGCTGAGGGGGTGGATATGAAGTGCATTGTGGAAACATGGGCAAGGCTGAATGCCTGGAGATATGTGATTACTGCTGCGGCAACGATTTGTAGTGCGGGCGCGACGGTGCTAGGAAGGTGAAGAAAGAGGCTCGGAGGGGGACGAGTGGCAATTGCATGTTGTTTCCATAGGCGTGTGGATCTATATATCTGAGATAAGAGGTCATATTTGGGAAATTGAATCTGCTTTTATCATGCATATGCTACATGGCACAGCTCTGGTGTGCGGCACCTTGTCTATACACGCACGTGGCGTCCAGCGAAAGAGAAATCGTACACATATAATACAAACAATATACAGTACATGGAAATGACCAAAGTGCTTTTGCAGTTTGTGCATCGAAAGTGCGTGAAAGCGACCCCGTTGCATCCTCCGCTCTGTCGTCATGCTCAGAGTTGACGTCCATGACACGCGACGTCTGAATGTCCGTCGTAGTCTCTGGATCGCACCAATACTCAGGCTACGAGCCATTCTTTTTTCTGGTTTGAGAAGATTCTGAATCTTGAGAATACAGTCCTGTCTTGATGCGCGTCATGTCCGAGGCTTTCTCTGTCGGCGGCTTTGAGGTGCGGCGCTTCCTCCTTCCGCTTCTGCGGCTTCATTTGGCCCAAAGAATGCAGACTTTATCCTCTCAAAAGCATACGCCAAACGTGAGGACACGGTGTTAGGTTCTGGTTGCACATCGTTATTCGATACGTCCATTTCTTGCTTTTCGGTCTCGACACCCGTGGAGGCTTTCTCGCTAGGCTTCTTCTGTTCGTCGGAAACCATGGCAACACCTTTTGCATGTTGTACCTGTCTTTCCACTTCCGCAGAACTTTCCTCCGCGGGGATAGAGGTTTTATGGGTTTTGTCTGTCTCTGGTACAGCAGAGGTGGGTGCAATCTTTTGAGATGCTGTTGATTCACAATCGGCCAGGTCTGGCAAACCAGTACCCCATATGGTTATTTTTTTGACCGGTTTCTTCTCTAGCGGATCTTCTTGTAACTTGTTATAGTCACTAGAGACCCCGAGTTTTTCTCTGCCAGTCCTGTACAGGGCATGTGAATCTTCTGAAGACTTGTTGTTCTGCAGCGCACCCAAGCGCTCGCGCCATGCCTCTGATCTTCTTTCTTCCTCTAAGAACTCACCCATATTCTTCTGCAGCATTCTCTCATATAATACTGCAGTATCAGCCGGTAGGCCTTGGTCCTCGAGGACGGTAGCTTGAGCTCTTGCAGCGGCCAACGACGTTAGCCTTATGGCCTTTTCTTTCCTGAGCCAATGTGCTCGTGCCCTCATTGTGGCTTTCTCGGTTGGTCGGGTAGTTAGTCTTGCTTTCTCTCCCATGAAAACTATAGTAATGCTCTCGCTACAATGTGGTGTTTCCGCCTCTTTCGGACTCAACTCCTTCGTCAACGAAGCCTGTGAAGCTAGATCGCCTGGTTCCCTGTGTGCCTTGTGCAATACCTGGCTCCTTGGTTTGCGCTACTTGCACATCTTCCTGTTTCGTCGACATTGCTAGAGTGCCATCAAGTCTGGGCTCTTTTGACAGCAGTTTTTCCTGTTCCATAGAATATTATTATTGCAGACGCAAAAATCTATCGGCGTAGCTACCGCCCACATGCACTTACGATTGGTTCCAAGTCATCAATGACTTGCTTTTTGCTGTTCGTCCGGGTTTGAGAGCCATAATTAGGTTGGTCTTCTGGCTTTTCTCCTAGCTCTTTTTCGATGAATGTATTGGTGTTCTTCATTTGCTTCCGTAACTCAAGCTCCTCGCGTTGCACAGATCTAAGCTTTCTCTTGAGACTTCGCTCCTCGGCTCGTAAGCGCAAAATCTCATTTCTGTATTGATCGATGCCTGATTCGTGCTGTGTTGTCAAGAATTTGTGTTCATCGAGTTTGATTCCTTTGATGACTCTCTTTACCGCCCCAATGTTGTGAGACGAGTCGAGATAAACGGCCCCAAGTATGGCCTCGAAAGCCTCAGCGATTTGGTTGGGTTTTGCGAAATTAGATTCGGGAAGAAAAAGTTGTTTGTGTAGACCGAGTGAAAGTGCTTTGATGTACAACGCGGCCCTTGTTTCTATGTCCAGGTGCATTTTTTGGTCTATAGGAGTGGCAAGTTTAGACATTGTCACACATGCAGAGAGTACCAGTACACTTACAACTGCCTGTCTGACGTCAGTATGAATTGTATGAGCTGTGCATGGAACGAACCTGTAGAGTTTCCCGTGCCAAACCACAGGTCACACAACGCTAAGCGGAGTACTCGGTCGCCCAACAATGCCAGGCGATTGTTTTTGGCCTCGCGATGAATCACACCTTCGAAGTATAGAGGTAAGACGAATGATGTAGCATTGATTGCTTGTATGCATATCATCTTGTCGTAGAAGGTATAGTCAAGACAAGCCTCAAGGCGTCCCACCTTTGCTGCTGCATCGACCAAATTGTGGGCAGGCCGTTGCAACTGCTCAATGCCGAGTGTTGACTGCACTCCATCTTTCTGGAAGGTATCTGGAATACGGAATTTTGGTCGAAAACGAGATCGCTGTCCAAAACTAGGTGGTCGAGACCAATCTTTTCTATGGTAGCGATCTCCAAAGAACTTGCCTGGGGGTTTCTTCTGGAATCTTTGTGAATGCCATGAAGGAGGCTTGTAAATGAAGCGACGCCTCCAGGGCCCGGTTCTGAACCCATTCGGAGGGGCCATCCGGGGGGCGCTGAGAGTGTCGTGTTATGTATACTCCAAGTCGTGAACAATATTGGTTGCTCAGAGGAAATTGTCCTGTCCTGATTGGATGAAAAATTCGCAAGAGACGTACCGCAGCCACATCAATAGAGCCACATCATCGCCCAGGTCAATTGCTCAGAGTCAAAAATGAATTCATCTTGCCCTTGTTCCAAAGGAGATTGACGGCTGATTTGACGATGTCGGTGGTGGTAAAGATGATGCCGGAACTAATGCAAGGGATGTTGGGCCAAAATCTGTGACCGCACGGACGACCGGCATGGTCGCCACTTTGAGTAACCAAGTCACACGACTCCCAAGCGCTGCTCTTCTCACCTTGGACCTTGGTCATACGCACCCTATCATTGCGAGATTTCATTTGAATTTCTCTCTAACTGGCACGCAATCGATTTAGTGTTGTGGATTTATACCCCACGTGTTCGTGCGGCGCACAATAATCACGAACGGCCACACACCCTAAGCTTCACAACACGATTCATCAGTCTTCACTATCATAAAACCTTTGATACGGAATTCGACAAGGCTTTTTCTTTAAAAAAAACATCTGAGGATTACCATATGATCCAAACGCAGCATAAGAAAACCTGAACTATATGACGTCTATCTCCCCAAATCCCATCTCTTTTGCAGAACTTATGCTGCGATTGATCTTTCTCATGGTTTTCTCGTCGCTAGCACAACTCAATTGACCATGTGAACCAAAATCTCATAGTTATCGCATGCTCGATCGTAGCATTAATGAGATCGCCACTACGCTACCTCCACATCATCCCGAAATCCTTTCTCAATTGATCCATCTCTGCTGCAACCCCTCGCACCAATCTACTAACATCCTATATCTCTCACCAAGCAGCATCGGTACCACTTCCATCAAGCTGACTACGCATGATCCCTCATCGCATAGAACACATGCACGACTAACCCATCAACACACCATCTTTCCCGAATCCCAAGCCTAACAAACCGCAAGCATTCTCTATTCCAGATCTCCGCCTCAAAAGGACCAATGCATCAACACACCGATACATTCCAACGTACCACAAAAGTCTCCCCACAGAAAACGCCCCCGTTCCACAGTCACAGCCGCATACAAGCGCACGTGTTCGATCTCCGAACACAATACCCATGACATTCGCAAGCCACTGTTTTCCGAGTGTTACATACAATTCTGGCGTGCTGCATTGGAAAGTCGCTGCCTATTCACGATACCTCCATTCCATTCCACATCCGTCCGTTTCTTCTGCGAACAACAACTAGCAGCAGCAACAGCAGTTGGCGCAAAAATCCACACAGGGCACTCTCCACGTATGTCCGCATCCAAGCCAGCGCCAGAAACTGGCTCCAGGCATACAACAGCACGGCTCTTTAGCTGGTGGTTTTGCTGGTGCGGCGGTCATAGGTATGCCTGTGTTCGCGGCTGGTTGGGCGGTGTATTGCATCTGCGGTTGTTGCGCCCATTCGATTGCTTGGTGCGTGCATTTTGGGTAGGGTTGAGGATCAGGTGTATGTTCGGGTTGTGTGACGACGGTGTGTAGGTGTGTTGGCGTCATTGAGGGTGCGTGTCTGGCGGATCGTGAAGAGTATGAGGGATGGCGAGTGCATTGGCTGGTTATGTATCTTAATGCCATGTCTGTTGACTAAAGATAGGGTAACGAGTACCCTCATGTGTAATGTCTCAGCTCGTGGCTGGGGCTGAAGTGCGTCTTGGGCCAAGGACACCCAAGGCGATATCTATACATGTTGTCCTACCTTTAGGTCACATCACTCGTATTCACTTGGTTTGCAGTGATTCGTAAAGAGATAATCTCATTATAATTGTGTGAAAAAGATTGTGTAGAAGGTAAATAATGAATAGACATTATAGAAAGCCGGCTTTGAAACCAAACTTCGGCGTGACAAGACCCAGGGCATGCGTCGTGACTCCAATCAGTCATGTAACACATACACTAGTTTTTTTCTTACAACTTCTTGGCAGACATCTTGACTGGACGCACACTCTGCAGGTTGGAGAAGACGTTCTTAGGGTCAATTCTCGACTTGATGCGCTGGAGCTTGGCTACATTGTCACCCCAGTATTGATGCTGGGCGTCCGATCCAAGGCCAGGATCGACATAGCCTGGATAAGCTCCGTTGTCACGGCCTGATCGTGAGTCAAGAACCAGGTTGTTGAGACCAGCGAGGTAGTTGCGAGATGTGTCGCTAAGCTATGGGAAGTCAGTACTATGATCTGCAGGAGCATTGTATGGGAAAAAAACTTACTTGACCCGTGATGTTGACGGCATACGATTGGTGGAAGAAGAGTGCGTCGCGGTGTCCATATGCAGTCGCATCGGGTGCAACGTCGGAGATGGCGCCGGCCTCAAGATCCCAGACCATGAACCAAAGTGCACCGCCGTTGTTTGCTGTGTCAATGTAGTTGAACATCTTATCGATGGTGGCATCTGACAACAGGTCGTTCTTTGTGTAAGGAAGGGACTTTGCGTAGAAGTGTGCTGGTGTGTTCCCCATGGCTGACAGTGCAGCCTCCTCAATCGAGTTTGCCAAAACACCAAGCCAATCCTTCAGTTGAAGGGAGGCTGGGCCCGTCTGGAGGCGAGAAGAAATGTTGAGGGCTTCGTACTCTTGCTGAGTGCCGAAGAATGTACCTTTGATGATTGCGCCGACACCGACAGCAAGTGTGAACTGGCTGGCAAACTTTCTCGAAAGCTGAGGATCAGAGATCAACTTTTGCCATTGCTTGAAAGCATTTGCCTTTTCAGCTGTTGAGCCAGCGTCAATGGTGTAAGAGTAAACGACTGCGTTGCCAGGCTCTGGTTCCGTGCGCATTTTGAACTGGGTAGCGATGCCAAAGCCGGAACCAGCACCCTTCATGGCAAAGAAAACTTCCGAGTTGTGTTTTGGCGTAGCACACACGATTGTGGAATTGGCCAAAACAACCGTCATCTCTTCAATATGGTCGAGAGCAAGGCCCCACATGCGAGAGCCGGGGCCAAGTCCACCAATGGTGGCGTGTCCTCCGATGCCGATTGTTGGGGATGTTCCATGGGCTATGGCACGTCCGCCATTGATATGGAGTTTCTGGTCGATATCGCCAAGAAGTGTTCCGGCGCCGATAGTGGCTCGCCAGGTAGAGTGATCCATGGAGAACTGCTGGAAGGCTTTCAGATCGACGACGATGGTATCCCCAGACTTCTCTCCGAGACAGTAGTTGCCATATGAGTGTCCACCGCTGCGTGGTTGTACTTTCAAAGCGTTATCCACAGCACATTTGACAATTGCAGCAACTTCTTCGTTGGTGGTGGGATAAGTGACAGCAGCAGGTATGATCGGCCTATCGAGGTTGTAAGGCCTGACGTCCTTGAGTACGTAGGACGACGAGCCTGAAAAGGCAACGGTTCCCTTGCCTATGGCACTTGAAAGACAGTGTTGAACCGCAGCGCTAGGAGGAGAGCCAGGGGGGATAGGGTTCGCGGCAGCGGCAGCGGCGGCAGCGGCAGCGGCATTGCTGAAGTTGGTGATCGTGCTCCCTAAGGAGCTAACAGCGTTACCCATAGTGCTAATGCGAGGTATCTGAAGGGCAGTTAGCTCTTCGCATTCATGGGGTTATAATCCAAGTTGTACGTACATGAAGCTACTCAAACGTGATCGGTGATGTTACGAGACTGAGTTTGAGGTGGAGTCCTTGGTGGAACGTTGTCTAACACCAGATGCGTTCGTTGGGAGCGCACGAAGGATTACTGGCAAGGTTGTCAGCACGTGGATCGCCCTATACGATGGAGCTGGTGCTTTGTGAAGATCCGGAAGTAAGAAAACGGAGAAACGAAAGACTTTAAATGATGAATGTAGTGGTACACCCGTACAGGAGGTTACAAAAATAGAAATCACGAATGATGAATTCGTCCGCCACTTACCTCTCTGGTGATGGTATTAGACTCGACAGCCAAGTACCTGGTTCGAAAATTAAGAAGAGTCGATAACTTTATATATGAGCTGGTAATGAAGGCAATTATGTTGCGACATGCTCCAGCCAACTCACTGTACTGAGGTTATTGAGGTGGTCTTTCACTCGCGCTAGGAAGGTTAAATCGTCAGCGCTAACTCCCGGAAGGGTGAAGGGTCAGCACTAGCGCCATATTAATGTTCAACAGTCAGGAGTATCATCCGTATGCTCAAAGGTTAAACATATTACAACAGATCCGGTCTTCCGTTTCTCGCCGATCTTAGTATGTGGAACCCCCCCCCCCAAATCGGTAATTTGCTGCTCCGTGACACTTTGGCGGGTTTGGCGGGTGGATGTAAGCTTACCAGTTGTCAAGGATTCAACAAAGGACCAAGTGGAGATACTCTCGTCACCAGCCAGGACGGCCAAAGATGCCTGCCATCACCTGATTAGAAAACCGGTGGATACGTAATTGAATCTCATGAGCCAAGCCAACTCAGCGGGTGTTCCGGGTAGCAATTCGTGTGCTGTTGCCTGCGGCTGACGCCTCCCTAGTACCAGATACTTCGTGTCCGATGATGCGGTATTGCGTCCACCCCTTCTTTCTCTCTTTCCTTGGCCAGATCGTACAGGAAGAAGTCGATGAGAATAGCATTGACCTGGGTGTCCGGTTTGAGCTTCTTGATTTCACGGCGAAGCAGCTCTACAGCCCAGATGCTGCAGCCACGGATTTGCATCTCCCAGGTATGACCTGAGTCGATCATTTCCAAGCGACGGATTTTATTTTCCAGCGGTGGGCAGTACCACATGATGCCTAGTGAATGCAGCATTTGTGGAATACGGTAGTCTGCATAAGCGTGAATATGTGGGGCCGTGTCCATGAGGAGATGCATGCTTACCGGCGAACATGGTGATCTTGTCAATATCGTTGAACGTACCGTAGCCGTCGCCCTCGAAAGCAGCCCATAGGTCGGCGACAAAGATCTGGGCGCGCTTCAGGAAGCGCACGTTTTTGTTTTCAAACTTGCCTTCATCTCGAAAGCAGTTGAATCTTTCAGCGAGCAGGTTCACCAGGCCGGCGGCTGAGTTGTTTGCGTCCTCAATCAGAGTGACGACACTGCTGTCGAATTCCTATACAGTCGGTCAAAAACCAATGGCATGCCTCAGGCTCGTTGCTGTGGACGGACCCACCTCCTGCAGGACCTGACCGGCTTCCCTCAAGCACCGCACCCTTTGCTCGAACAGGGGGATTTCTTCGTCGGTGCCAGAACTAAAGACGGTGCGCAGCACTTCTTCTGAGCACGTTTCCTCGTCAACCCAGAACTCTGGACTCGTGATGGGAATCTCCTGTTCCAGTGCTCTTTGCAGTATTGCTACGAGGCTCCAGTAGCCCGTCCACCTCTTGCCCTTGTAGACGACAGCGAAGCGCTCTTGGTCGCTTTTTTCGCTCCAGAAACTAAAGTTCAGCAGGTCCATGGTAAAGATGAAGTTGACCGCGGCCTCATCCTTGGACTTTGGATGCAGCTCATGCTCCGACCATGACCTGGGCGAGTAGTCTCGCTTGCTCATCTCGTCGAGCACCAGCTGTGCGGCGACTTTTGTGGAGCGCATGTCGAGGGCGACATCGATGCTATTGTCGTAGATGAACTGAGCATTTTCCAGCACCTTTGTTTCGGGCGGGCCGTCTTGCCTAGCACCGCCGCCCCAATGCTTCCGCATGAGCTCCAGCAGCTCCAGATCGACGTCGTCGTCGGACATGGCGGCAATGCAGCGGCAGTGGAGGGGCGCCGGCGTGTTGGTGAGGAGGGGTGAATGTGTTCTGTGTTCCTGTGCCTGTCGAGGGCATACTCCACCCACAGGGCGATCGGCGGTTAGCGCCAAGCATCGGAGGCTGAACAAGGCAAGGCAAGCAGCCTGCTTCCCTACCTATTAGTGCTACTACTTTACTACTTACGTAGGTAGAGCGGCGCTATCAGGTCGCACTGACGTCTCGCTCGTGCTCGCACTCACCTTCACCTTGGGCCCCGGCGCCGCATCTCCACCATCTTCGCATGTCGCAGCCTCGCCCAGCGCACATCCCGATCCGCTGCTCGTTTCCCCCATTGTCCAACCCGCAATGGCTCGCGACAAGTTTGCTCGCCAGAGCCTCGGCGGCGCGCTCCACCAGCGCATCAAGGAGGTAGCTATCCACGAGCCCGTCCAAGGAACCCGCCCCGTAGGCGCTGACCCCAGGCTAGTCGCGCATCTTGATGGTAGGAGCTGGAGGCATCGGCTGCGAGCTCCTCAAGAACCTGGCGCTCACGGGCTTTGGTGAGATCCACATTGTCGACCTGGACACCATCGACCTCAGCAACCTGAACCGCCAGTTTCTGTTCCGCAACGAGCACATCAAGAAGTCCAAGGCGCTGGTATGGCGACAATGGCATCACGCGAGACGTGCGTGCGCATGCGCTGACGGCCCGACAGGTTGCCAAAGAGTCGGCCTCCAAGTTCAACCCCAATGTGCGCATCATAGCATACCACGACAACATCAAGAATGACCAATTCAACGTCGCGTGGTTCCAGAGCTTCCGCCTTGTCTTCAACGCGCTCGACAATCTGGATGCGCGCCGACATGTCAACAGGATGTGCCTCGCAGCCAACGTCCCTCTGGTCGAGAGCGGCACCACAGGCTTCAACGGCCAAGTCCAGGTCATCAAGCGGGTGCGCAACACGCACCTCACGCATCTTGGCACTGTGCATGCTAATTGGTGGCGATAGGGCGAAACCGAATGCTACGACTGCACGCCAAAAGACGCGCCCAAGTCGTTCCCTGTCTGCACCATTCGAAGCACCCCGTCGCAGCCCATCCATTGCATCGTCTGGGCAAAGTCGTATCTGTTTGCAGAGATCTTTGGCACCTCGGAAGACGAAGCGCCAGAGCTGGATCACAGCGAGGACGCCGATAATGCCGATGAAGTCGCCAACTTGCGCAAGGAGGCACAGGCATTGAAGCGCATACGCGACTCCATGGGCTCCCAAGATTTCCCGCGCATGGTTTTTGAAAAGGTGTTCAAGGAGGACATTGAGCGGCTGCGGAGCATGGAGGACATGTGGAAGAGCAAGCGAGCACCCGAGGCTCTTGATTACGACAAGTTGATGCAAGAGTCGCTGGGCGTCGGTCCCGCAATCGCGCAACAAGACCAAGTCGTCTGGACCGTCGCCGAAAACTTTGCCGTGTTCGTCGATAGCGTAAAGCGACTGAGCACCCGTCTGGAAGAGACACGCGCAAATGCCGACATTGGAAACGCAGCCCCCATTCTCAGCTTCGACAAGGACGACGTAGATACGCTGGACTTTGTTGTCGCAAGCGCTAACCTTCGGTCACACATCTTTGGCATCGAAACGCGGTCCAAGTTCGACATCAAGCGTAGGGACCCTGCCACAGACGGTCAACGTCTTTGCTAACAGACTACAGAGATGGCCGGCAACATCATCCCCGCGATCGCGACTACAAACGCTATGACCGCTAGTCTGTGTGTTCTCCAGGCTTACAAGGTCATGCGCGAACAGCTCGATAAAGCTAAGATGGTCTTTCTTACCCGCGGCACAGAGCGCGTCATCTCGAGCGAAGCACTGCGGCCACCCAACCCACACTGTGCAACCTGCGGTGTATGCTACGCTATGCTCAACGTCGACACGAAGCGCGCGAAGTTGCGCGATCTAGTAGACTACATTCTGAAGGAGCAACTAGGATATGCTGGCGATTTTAGCGTCAAACATGATGCCGACATACTTTATGACGTCGATGAGGACATCCATCTCGATAAGACATTTGAGGAGCTGGGGCTCAAGGGCGACAACTTCATCACAGTCTCTGATGATGCGGAGGAGAACACAAAAGTCGACGTTATCTTCTCCATCATCAAGCAGGACTTCACCGAGAACGCAAAGCCTCTGCGGCTACCTGAGGAACTCGAGATTGCGACCAAGCCCAAGCCACCGACCCCAGAAACCAATGGACATCCAACTGCCAACGGCACTGTTTCAAACGGCGTCTCGGCGGATGCTGCTGACGACGGCACGAACGGCGCTCCGAAGCGAACAGCCACTGAGGCTGGTCTTGAGGATGAGCTCATCCGTAAAAAGGGCAAGGTCATGGAAGAGTCATCGAAAAACGACGGTGATCACATTGTGATTCAAGACGACCCCAACGGTGCCATTGTCATTGAAGATGACTGAGTGAATTACTCGTCAAACAGCTTGGCTGGCGAGCGTAATTGACCCATCATATCCTGTCATCTCCCAGATGCCTTGGCCTCTCCGCACAGGTACCGAAAACATAGGATTTGGGTTCCTCGTTTCTCCGGTCTCCGCATTTGTATTTTGCATGCGTTTGAGCACAATTTCTCGGATTGGTTTAAGAGCCCATCGATCCAATCCTTCCGTGCAGCAAGCAGCCTACGCGCCTGCAACACCACATATAGATTTCCCAACTCTGTACTATATACTACTACGTCTGCCACCTTAGTCAGCCATTCACCAAAGGGAGGGCGTTTTCAACGGCGGGGCGCGACGGCAACGGAAACGAATATACCTCTTTTTTTTAAAAAAAAATTTCACTACTCTCAAAGGAATCATTTGGTGGAAAAAGACGTTTTGGCAGACGCATATTCTGGATTCAAAGAGAGCGATGGGAAATTCATACGGCCCGCACATGCAAGGCCGGAATGGCAGATGACGGTAGTAATGCAAAAGATATTTAGACTTTCTTCTTTTCTTTTCTTTTCTTTTTCCACATCGTGGTGTCATTGCATGTAGTGTGTCAGACAGCAGATAAGCCGCCATCCAGATTCACAAGACAATTATGCGCATACTGATTTTCCGCCAGAAACAGGGCCGCATGAGCGATTTCCGCCGGCGTCCCAAAGCGGCCCAGGGGAATGCGTTTGTTGAGGTGGTCAGACTGCAGATCTTGTGTTTACCACTTGTCAGTTTCCCGCGTTGTCGCAATGAGAGTGTTTCGCGGGGGGCCAGACACTTACTTTTTGTCATGTCCGTTGCCACATAGCCCGGCACAATGGCGTTCACGCGTACTCTGTGGCTCGCATACTCTGTTGCTAGTGCGCGTGTAAAGCCCAGGACACCGGCTTTCGACGCGGCATATGCGACGGCGCCGTAGCCGCCTTGTAGACCTAGCAGCGATGCAACGTTGATGATGACGGGACTGAAATCTTCGCCTCCCCCCCCTCCTCCGCCTCCATCTTCTCCTTGTCTCCGGTCTCCCCCGCCGCCCAGATACCCATTGCGAAGCAGGAACTTTGTGCCGAGCATCAGTGCCGTCAGGTTTGTGTTTATGATGTTCTCCATGGCGGCTTCGTCCATTGCTTTGAAGAGTTTTGTTTGTGTGATGCCCGCGCAATTTACCATGACGTCTATGCGCGAGGCGTGGGTCGCGTGCTGCTTCCGGTCGGGCTTGGGGAGGTGCGCGCAGAATGGCAGCGAGGCATCTGAGGTCCAGAAGCGGGTGCCGGATGCTATGCTGCCGGCTATGTAGCCGTGCTGGTACTGGGTGTTGTGGGTATTAGAAGAGGTGGGGGATTTGAAAGCCTCTTCTTCTTCTTCTTCTTCTTCTTCTTCTTCGGTTTCTTGCTGTTGTTTTTGTGGTGCTGGTGGTGCTGGTGCTGGCAAAGGTTCCAACGAAGCCACAGCATCTTTGAGATCTCGTTCTGAGCGCGAGATGAGCGTGCACCGATACTCGTTTTTCGCAAACAACTGCGCAATAGCGAGGCCGATGCCGCGGCTGCCCCCCGTAACGAGGACGTGTCGTGGTCGGGCTGCGACCATGGCTCTGGTAAGTATATCTATCTCTTCGACCAAGTTATGAATCCCGGGAATATCTCTTTCGACACACACAAGTGCGTTAATTGGAGAAACACCAGGCCCCCACGTGCTGGTGGTATTCAACGCATCGATTGCCTATTTCTCTGCTATATGGAATGGATCATCGCCAGGGTATCGCAATTAAACCCAGAATGGGGATGTTTGGTGAATTACACAGAGAGAAACAGCCAAATGATGTAATGGCCAATCTTGCAATTGCTACGCGAGAAAACGTGACCGCGCGATCCGCCACCAGCCTTACCCCCCCCCCACCGGCCATGCCCATCCACGCCCCATGTTTCCTCTCCACCCCCCACCACACACACATACAGCTCAACCCTTGTCCACCCTCATTCCCGCAGCCCCTCCAATCCCGCATCTATATTTCCCATCATGGCCTCGGAAAGCGCCTCGGAATACGTAACGCTAGTATCCAACGACGGCTACGAATTCAAGCTGCTGCGCTCCGCCGCGTGCATCGCCGGCACCATTAAAAAAGCGCTGGACCCCATGTGTACGTAGGCTCTATGCAGACACCACCACCACCATGACATAGAGTTGGCAGGTTTATTGATGACTCCGCACAGCTGGGTTCCGGGAAAACGCGCAGAATCGCGTAGATCTGCCGACTATCAAGTACGTTCTGCATAGTAGTCTAGTTTAGATTGGGTTGCGCCCGCTCCAAAGAGCTTTTGTAGTGGCTCAAGCGGCGGCTAGGATGATGATGATGACGATGATTATGATTCAATTGGGAGAAAGCTGAATGCAGACATAAAGCGAAATTTACTAACATAAAAAACTCCCCCCACCATAGTGGTGTCGTCCTAGAAAAGGTCTGCGAATACTTGTATTACAACCAGAAGCACGCCGAGAGCAAGGACGTGTCGGATATGGATATCCCGCCTGAGCTGTGCTTGGAGCTGTTGATTGCCGCGGATTACCTCGATGGTATGTAATGCAGAATGAATGGGAGGTGAGGGTGTTGTGAGGGAGGTGGCTGACGAGAGTGTAGTGTGAAGTGTTTTTTTAAAGCGGTGCTGGTGGGTGTTTGGTCTGCTGGTGTGGTTGCGGGAAAGAATTTGGTGGTTGAGGGAGTGTGTAGTGCGGATGTTTTGAATCATGTGCTGTGGAGAATTAGTGGTGTTGTGGGGAAGAGACCAGAGGACATCAGTTACGATACGTGGTATCATTCTTTCGGCTCGAGTCAGATGGAACGCTGCAAATGATCAATCAATTACATTGTTCTGTATTTGTATTTGCACGGTCTAGGTAAGACCACCCACGCAATCATCACTAAAGTCACCCTCATGGAAATCATTAAGTACAGGACCAGCCACTTGCTTTCACTACAAGACGGCATTCTGTATCCGGTTCATCGTCTGCATGGCCTTGGCCAGTGAGCTCTGCACGACACCCCTCGCCAACTCCTTCAACTCCGCAACTCCCAAGCCACTGCTCCTGAGCTTCCACGCGCCGCCTATAGCCAGCACGAACGCCAGTGTCTTGAGCAGCTTGCGCAGCCTCAGCTTGGCGAGGCCTTTGCTCGTGTACTCGATGTTCCAGTCGTTCCACTTGACCCATGTGCAGCGGCGCCAGAAGTCGACTTGCGAGAAGGGGTACACGGTCGAGTTCCACCCGTTCTCGGTAAAGTACCAGCTGGAGCAGCCGCTGCGCCAGACGGTGTTTTTGAGCGCGTTCTGCATCTCGTTTGTGTAGGCGACTTCGGCCTCGTGCTTGACGTCGACGGTGCGGGCGTCGTCGTTGAGGAGGAGGCGGACAAAGTTGAGCGAGTAGTTGACCATGTCTAGAGACGATTAATTAGCCTGTGTTATGTGTAGTTGGGGAAAAATATGAGACTTACTTTCACTCGCCATTACGACGCTGGAATGGCCAGTCGCAGTGTTTGGCCCGAAAATCATCATGAAGTTTGGAAAGCCGTCCATGGCGCTGCCTTGATAGGCCTGGGCGCCTCCTCGGTCTTCCATAACTTGAACTAGATCCTTTCCGTCTTTGCCAATGACCTTGAGGGGATGTAGCCAGCGTGTCGTGTCGAAGCCGTTGGCGAGCACAATGATATCGGCTGGGACTTCGCGCTCGGGATAGTCGTCTTGCTTTGCGGTGTGCGGGTATGTTACGCCGGGGCCGATGACGACACCCGTCTCTGTCACGCGGTTCATGGGCTGCGTGGTAAGATGGATCTTGGGATCGTTGAGGCTTTTCAGCCAGCGCTTGTCGAAGATGCGGCGCTTGCATCCGACGCCGTAGTCTGGCGTCAGCATCTCCCAGTACTTCTCCGGGACAGTGTGGCGCATGCGCTTGAGCATGTCCTGCTCGTAGAGGCGTCGCTGTCGAGCCGCAAAGGGCGTGTTTGGAAACATACTGAAGAAGGTGACTTCTGCGAGGAAAAAGGTGGAGAAGCGAATCAGCTCTTTCAGCCCGGGTACGCCTTTCATAATCGTCCGTCCATGCTTCTCCCACCATACATCGCCGCCTGGAGGATGGAAGGCGGGCGCCACCCATGGTGGGGATCGCATGAGCTGGGTGACTGATTTGGCGTTATACGGGGCCTCTGTGAGGCGTGGGACGAGCTGGGCACTGCTGCATCCCGTTCCCACTACAACCACGTTCTTGTCGGTAAAGTCGATTGTGTCGTCCCATCGCGCCGAATGAAACATGTTGCCCTTGAAGTTCTCGATGCCCTTGATGTCCTTGGGCCAGCCCCTGGGCTCAACGAGACCGCCCACGCAGCTCAGCACGACCTTTGCCCTAACTACCTCTGTCTCAGCATAGACAGCCTGCTCGCCCTTCTCTTGAATAATCTTGATGCGATCCTTGGACGAGAGGTCGCCCATGCCTGCTACCATGCGGCGCAGCGTAACTTCCCACAGGCCCTCGTCTTCTAGCCATCTGCAACTTTCAATGTCTGTGTTGAGCTCGAATTTGTCCGTGATTTTGTACTTTTCGCAGACTTCATGGTAGTACTGTACAATTTCTCTGCCGGGCGGGTGGAAAGAAGTCCAGTTTGGATTTTGCGCAAACGAGAACGAGTAGAAGACTGCAGGTATATCGCTAGGTAGGGTTAGCTTCAGGCGTTGTCTGCATAGAACGTGCAGCGTTATGCGAGTCAGCGGTCAAAAGACCACTAATAGTTTGCGTATTTTCTTCGTTGCTTGCTTTTTATTATTATTGTTCCATTAGAGTCTAGTGAGCTCGAGGCTATGTAAGACTTTGGCCGAGGCCGTTCTAACTAGATTTATTCAACACACCAACTTTTAAGCAGAAATCTTTCATCAAAACTCGTCAATTTTCTATCAGATATAGGGGTAACACGTCGCGAGAAACCGATTTACGCCACCTCTAATGTGTGCAGCCCTCTCGTTGAGGTGCTAGAGGGGGTATTGTCGGTATTCTTGCGACGTGTTCGAAATGCGAAAATCTTCGAGAACGCACAGACCGCCCCGATGACTAATAGGGAGACTACTAAACGAAACCAAAAACATTAAAAACACCAAATAAAACAACAAAAATACAAAAATACCTATAT